TGTGTTCCACATAATAATAATAGCGTCCACATTGGGCATGCATACTCAGCAGCAGAGTAGCATAGCGCAAGGGCAGATGTCTTCACTGTGTCTGGTAGCGATCCCCAGGTTGTGCCAGTCAGCTTTCGTATGATATTATTTCTAGCGCCCAATTTTTGTTTGATGTTCAAGCAGTGCTTCTTGTAGGTCAGAGCGCGGTCCAGGGTAACTCCCAGGTATTTGGATGTGCTGCAATGCTCCAGTGGGATTCCTTCCCAGGTAATAATCCTCGGAGCTCGGGATGCTTGTCTGTTCGTAAGGTGAAAAGCACGACTGTGTTTTGGATGGATTAGGGATCAGTTGGTTTTCCCTGTAATAGGCAGTAAGAGCACCTAGAGCTTCGGAGAGCTTCCATTCAACCATCCTAAAGCTCCCTGCTTGAGAGGTGATGGCACGATCATCAGCATAGATGAAACTCTCTGTCCCTTCTGGCAGTGGCTGGTCATTTGTGTAGATGTTGAACATGGATGGAGCAAGCACGCTCCCCTGAGGCAGGCCGTTCTTCTGTTTCCGCTATCTGCTTCTCTGGCCCTGGAACTGAACAAAAAAGCTCCTGTTTTGTAGCAGGTTTCCTATGAGGCGGGTGAGGTGGTCGTCCTTTGTGATATTATACATTTTTCTCAGGAGGAGGCGATGGTTTACAGTATCATAAGCCGCTGACAGGTCTATGAAGACAGCTCCTGTGATCTGCTGCCTCTCAAAGCCATCTTCTATGTGCTCAGTCAGGTTCAGCACTCGCAATGTGCAGGTTTTGCCTTTCCTGAAGCCAACTTGCTGTGGGATCAGACAGGGGTCTATTTTTTCCATAATTCCATAATGGCTGGTACCAAATGAGAGACTCCTTCATCTCCTGCCCATCCTCTGTTTGGTTATCAGCCAGCACACCAACGACTTAACAATCAGGGGCAGCTAATCGACTCTCAACAAAAGACTGCCACAAGCACTGCCAGGCCATCAAATGCTAATCAAGGTGGTCAGTTGAAACATTCACACCTAGCTCCAGCAGACAAGAGTCCTTTGTTCCACCCTGGTCATTCCACAGATATATAAATCCTTTTTCCTAGTTCCAACAGACCTCACTACCTCTGAGGATGCTTGCCATAGATGCAGGCGAAACGTCAGGAGAAAATGCCTCTGGAACATGGCCATATAGCCCGAAAAAAACTACAACGACCCAGTGATTCCGGCCATGAAAGCCTTCGACAATACAATGTATTGATGATTTTGTATAATGTTTTAAAAATGATTTTACTGTTTTAATTGTCATTTTATGGTGTATATGTTGTTTGCATCATTTGAGGTCGCCCTGAGTCCCCTTTATGGGGAGAAGGGCGGGGTAGAAATGTACGAAATAATAATAATAATAATAATAATAATAATAATAATAATAAAGATTCTGCAAGGGGGCAGATGAAACAATAGATCATATCCTGAGCTGCTGCAAGAAGATCGTGGAGACAGACTACAAGCAGAGGCACAACACCGTTGCTCAGATGATTCCTTGGAACTTGTGCCACAAAAACCATCTGCCTACGAGAAAGAACTGGTGGGATCACAAGCCGGAAAAGTTACAGAGAATGAACATGTCAAGCTACTCTGGGACTTCTGGATTCAGACAGACAGAGTTTTGGAACATAATACTCCTGACCTCACAATTGTGTTTAGTATGGATCATTGATGTTGCAATCCCAGGTGACAGCAGGACTGCAGAGAAACAACTGTGATCCAATTCAACAGCCAGCAGAGTGTCTGCTGTGGACTCATCTTGTTGTGTTTCAAATAATAATAATAATAATAATAATAATAATAATAATAATAATAGTATGGATCGTTAATGTCGCAATCCCAGGTGACAGCAGGATTGAAGAGAAACAACTGGAAAAGCTGATACTATATGAGGATTTAAAAATCGAACTGCAAAGACTCTGGGACAAATCACACTGGGTGCAGTGCCTAAAGACCTTGGCCTGCACTTAAACAAAATTGGCGCTGACATGATTACCATCTGCCAGCTGCAGAAGACCACCTTACTGGGATCTGTATGAATTATTCAGCAATACATCACACCGTCCTAGACACTTGGGAAGTGTCTGACGTGTGATCCAATACAACAGCCAGCAGAATGTCTGCCGTGGATTCATCTTGTTGTGTTTCAAATAATAATAATAATAATAATAATAATAATAATAATAATAATAATAATAAAGATCGAACTGCAAAGACTCTGGCACAGGCCAGTCAAGGTGGTCCCAGGGGTGATTGGCACACTGGGTGCAGTGCCTCAAGACCTTGGCCTGCACTTAAACACAATAGGTGCAGACAAGATTATCATCTGCCAGCTGCAGAAGGCCACCTTACTGGGATCTGCATGCATTATTCAGCGATACATGACACAGTTCTAGACACTTGGGAAGTGTCCGACATGTAATCCAATACAACAGCCAGGAGAGTGTCTGCTGAGGATATATCTTGTTGTGTTTCAAATAATAATAATAATAATAATAATAATAATAATAATAATAATAAAGATCGAACTGCAAAGACCCTGGCACAAGCCAGTCAAGGTGGGCTCAGTGGTGATCGGCACACTCGGTGCAGTGCCTCAAGACCTTGGCCTGTACTTAAACACAATCGGTGCTGACAAGATTACCATCTGCCAGCTGCAAAAGGCCACCTTACTGGGATCTGCATGCATCATTCGCCGATACATCACACAGTCCTAGACACTTGGGAAGTATCCGACGTGTGATTCAATATAACAGCCAGCAGAGTGTCTGCTGTGTACTCGTCTTGTTGTGTTTCAAATAATAATAATAATAATAATAATAACCAGTGTTTCTCAACCTGGGAGTCGGGACCCCTGGAAGGGTCACAAGGGGGTATCAGAGGGGTCACCAAAGACCACCAGAAAACACAATATTTTCTGTTGGTCATGGAGGTTCTGTGTGGGAAGTTTGGCCCAATTCCATCATTGGTGGAGTTCAGAATGCTCCTTGATTGTAGGTGAACTATAAATCCCAGCAACTACAACTCCTAAATGTCAAGGTCTATTTTCCCCAAACTCCACCAGTGTTTAGATTTGGGCATATTGAGAATTCATGCCAAGTTTGGTCCAGATCCATCATTGTTTTGAGTCCACAGTGCTCTCTGGATGTAGGTGAACTACAACTCCCAAACTCAAGGTCAGTGCCCACAAAACCCTTCCAGTATTTTCTGTTGGTCATGGCAGTTCTATGTGCCAAGTTTGATTTAATTCCATCGTTGGTGGAGTTCAGAATGCTTTTTGTAGGTGAACTATAAATTCCAGCAATTACAACTCACACAGGACAAAATCAATATCCTCCCACAATCCCACCAGTATTCAAATTTAGGTGTATCGGGTATTTGTGCCAAATTTGGTCCAGTGAATGAAAATACATCCTGCATATCCGATATTTACATTACTATTCATAACAGCAGCAAAATGACAGTTATGAAGCAGCAATGAAACTAATTTTATGGTTGGGGGTCACCATAACATGAGGAAGTGTATTACGGGGTCGCGGCATTAGGAAGGTTGAGAACCACGGTAACAGACAGATAGATGTATTGTCGAAGGCTTTCATGGCTGGAATCACTAGGTTCTTGTGGGTTTTTTCGGGCTATAGGGCCATGTTCTAGAGGCATTTCTCCTGACGTTTCGCCTGTATCTATGGCAAGCATCCTCAGAGGTAGTGAGGTCTGTTGGAATTAGGACAATGGGTTTATATATCTGTGGAATGGCTGGGGTGGGGCAAAGAGCTCATAGAACAAGCCCTATGAGGAGCGGCTTGGGGAGCTGGGCATGTTTAGCCTGAAGAAGATACGGCTGAGAGGAGATATGATAGCCATGTATAAATATGTGAGAGGAAGCCACAGGGAGGAGGGAGCAAGCTTGTTTTCTGCTTCCTTGGAGACTAGGACGCGGAACAATGGCTTCAAACTACAAGAGAGGAGATTCCATCTGAACATTAGGAAGAACTTCCTGACTGTGAGAGCCGTTCAGCAGTGGAACTCTCTGCCCCAGAGTGTGGTGGAGGCTCCTTCTTTGGAAGCTTTTAAGCAGAGGCTGGATGGCCATTTGTCAGGGGTGATTTGAATGCAATATTCCTGCTTCTTGGCAGAATGGCTATCATGGCCCATGAGGTCTCTTCCAACTCTTTGATTCTATGATTCTATGATTCTCTGCTGAAGCTAGGTGTGAATGTTTCAACTGATCACCTTCATTAGCATTTGAAGGCTTGGCTGAGCCTGGGAAAATCCCCTGTTGAGAGGTGTTAAGATGTGCCTGGTTGTTTCCTCTCTGCTGTTTTGCTGTTGTAATTTTAGAGTTTTTTAATACTGGTAGCTAATGAAGGTGGTGAGTTGAAACATTCACACCTAGCTCCAGCAGAGAAGAGCTCTTTGCCCCACCCCAGCCATTCCACAGATATATAAACCCATTGCCCTAATTCCAACAGACCTCACTACCTCTGAGGATGTTTGCCATAGATGCAGGCGGAACGTCAGGAGAAATGCCTCTAGAACATGGCCCTATAGCCCGAAAAAACCCACAAGAACCTAGATAGATAGATAATTGAACTTAAGATAAGAGTTTGGGAATGTTACTTCTTTGAGCCAGATATGTGGAGTGATGAGCAAGGAGCGAGATCGGAAATTCAGAAAATGTTTTATGTACGTATGTGTACGCTTTAAAAAAATCTTTAGATTTTACACAAGGTTCAATGCGTTGTGCGTATTTCCACCGAATTAAACTGTGCATACAGCCTCGTATACAGCAAGAGATCATTGGAAGCTCTAGTATTCCACAATTCAATAGGAAGCTGGAGCAAAAGTGAACAGGATTGCTCCAATGCAATTGGTCTCCGAAGGCATCCAAATATAATTCTAAATCTGTTACATCCAGTTCGACCCAAACAGAAGTTTCACCGACATAAGCCGACTCGCTTTTCAAAAACATGTATTTCTTCCAAAAACAATATTAACAAGATCTTTCCCTATAGATCTCGACCCTTTTTTTTCGAAATGTATAGGATTTGCAAGAACAGAATTTCATGTTTTGTTTTGTTTTCTAAAAAAAGCACAATGATCGATGGTACCTTAAAAACACTGAGAATATCAAACGTTATCGTTCCAGTCTGGCACACTTCAATTGCGAGAATTCCTCCTGAAAATTTGTTTTCCTTTTTCACAACAACAACAACAACAACAACAAAAAATATGCAGGGACTGAAACCGAAGGAACCGGAAACGCTGCAAATGAAAATATCACTTATTTTTGCAGTTTTTTTAAAAAAAAGAGAGAAAAAAAGACACAACCAATGTTCTTTGGAATCACTGGGTTATCAAAAAGATTTTGGATTCTTCTAGAGTCTTCGTGCCATCTTCTTCATGTAGGTTTTTCAAGTCTTGGAACATTAGAGAAGGTCTCTGACCAGCAGGAAGCTACATCGACCAAGAAATATTGGTACACTTTTGTTTTGTTTCCGATGCAGGACGACGGCTACAAATAAAAAGGTTCTCAAGAGTCCGATATGCTCCCTGGGAGATGGGAGAGGATGAATTACTTGTGTTTCCAGTGCAAAATAAGTCTTCAGGACACGAAAGGCAAGGGGAAGGAGCAAAGGAAGAGAGAGAAAGGGAGGAAAGGAAGACATGGGGAGGGAATGGGATTCTCCAGTGGTTTTGGCCGGAGACAAACCGACAGGCCACTCAAGCTTCACCACCGACTTTCATTACTGCTAAAAAGAGACATTCCATGGCTCTGAGGCAGCAGCGTGATTGAACAGGTTCCCATCTACGGTCCGTTACGGAAACGGCCCACGACTGGGCCTCCATTTGCGTGGCCTTCTCCTCCTCTTCCTCCTTCCATGGGTTCCAGATGGAATGGGTCAGCAGCCAGTCCTCCGGAGAGAAAAAGTGTTCACCGCGTGTCATGAAATGTGAGAGATCTGTCGGACCCGGGTCTGGATCTCTTGCCGACACAAAGGGCAGGTCTCCAGCTGCAAGGCACACTCCATGCACAGGTCACTGCAGGGAAGACAAGAAGCAGGTCAGTAACGGCTGTAATCTGTATATTTATTGCCTGAACATCATGCAAAAAGTAGGTGCTAGAAACAATATCATACGAAAGCTGACTGGCACAACCTGGGGATCACAACCAGACACAGTGAAGACATCTGCCCTTGTGCTTTGCTACTCTGCTGCTGAGTATGCATGCCCAGTGTGGAACACATCTCACCACACTAAAACAGTGGATGTGGCTCTTAATGAGACATGCCGCATTATCAAGAGGGTGTCTGCGCCCTACACCACTGGAGAAATTACACTGCTTAGCCGGTATTGCACCACCTGACATCCGCCGGGAAGTAGCAGCCAATAGTGAAAGGACCAAGGCAGAGACATCTCCAGCTCATCCTCTGTTTGGGTATCAGCCAGCACGTCAACGACTTAAATCAAAACATAGTTTTCTAAGATATACAGAGACACTCGCTGGAACACCTCAGCAAGCGAGAGTCCAAAAGTGGCAGGCTCAAACCCAGAACCTCAACCAATGGCTGATACCAAATGAGAGACTCACCCCTGGGCACACAGAGGACTGGGCGACTTGGAAGGCGCTGAACAGACTGCGCTCTGGCACCACGAGATGCAGAGCCAACCTCAAGAAATGGGGCCACAAAGTGAATCCACGACATGCGAGTGTGGAGAAGAGCAAACCACTGACCACCTGCTGCAATGCAACCTGAGCCCTGCCACATGCACAAGGGAGGACCTTCTTGCAGCAACACCAGAGGCACTCCAAGGGGACAGATACTGGTCAAAGGACATTTAATCACTCACAAATTTTGTATTTTGTCTGTTTGTTTGCTTTGTTCTGTTAGAAATGTAATATAATTGACTGGTTGCCCTGACACAACAAATAAATAAATAAATAAATAAATAAATAAATAAATATTTGCCCTACTTTAGTATTATCCCACTTTTCTCCCAATATAGGACTCGAGGAAGCTAGTAGCAAACATGACACAGGGCAATTAAAATAGAGCAAATGCATTAAACTATCTATTTATTTATTTACTGTATTTGCATACCGCCCTTCTCAGCCAATCGGCGACTCAAGGCGGTTTCCAACAAATCAGTATACATAAAACATAATATAGATAAAAAACTCGAATAGCCACGTTTTAACTTGCCTCCGAAACGTCAAGAGGGAGGGAGCAGATCTGATCTCCCTAGTGAGCGCGTTCCATAGCCGAGGGGCCACCACTGAAAAGGCCCTATCTCTCGTCCCCGCCAAATGTGCTTGTGACAAAGACGGGACCGAGAGCAGGGCCTCCCCAGATGATCTTAAAGTCTTCATTGGTTCATAAGAGGAGATATATTCGGACAGGTAAATTGGGCCAGAACCGTTTAGGGCTTTATAGGCCAAAGCCAGTACTTTGAATTGGGCCTGGTAGCAAACTGGCTGCCAGTGGAGCTGGCGCAACAAGGGGGTTGTATGCTCCCTGAGAGCCATTCCTGTTAACAACTTGGCTGCCATTCATTGGACCAGTTGAAGCTTCCAGACCGTCTTCAAAGGCAACCCTTTGAATCTTTTTTCTTTCTTTCTTTCTTTCTTTCTTTCTTTCTTTCTTTCTTTCTTTCTTTCTATTATTTGAAACAAAATAAGATTAGTATACCACAAACAATATCACTCTGCTGGCTTTTGTATTGTATTGAGTCCACAGCGAATAATGCATGCAGATTTGAGCAGGGTGGCTTTTTGCAGCTGAGAGATGGTAATTTTGTCAGCACCGATTGTGTTTAAGTGCAGGCCAAGGTCTTTACACCCAGTGTGCCAACCACTACTGGGACCACCTTGACTGGCCTGTGCCAGAGTCTTTGCAGTTTGATCTTTAAATCCTCATATCGTGTCAGCTTTTCCTGTTGTTTCTCTTCAATCCTGCTGTCACGTGGGATTGCGACATCGACGATCCATACTTTGTTTTTTAACACGATCGTAAGGTGGGGACTCTTGTGCTCCAGAACTCTGTCTGTCTGAATTTGGAAGTCCCAGAGGAGTTTGCCGTGTTCATTCTCTGTAACTCTTTCCGGCTTGTGATCCCACCAGTTCTTTGTTGCAGGCAGATGGTGTTTGTGGCACAAGTTCCATTTAATCATCTGAACAACGGTGTTGTGCCTCTGCTTGGAGTCTCTCTGTGCAATCTTCTTGCAGCAGCTGAGGATGGGATCTATTGTTTCATCTGCTTCCTTGCAGAGTCTACACTTGGGATCTGTTGTCGACTTTTCAATTCTGGCTTGGATGGCATTGGTTCTCATGGCTTGTTCTTGGGCTGCCAGAATCAGGCCCTCCTTTGTCTCTTTTTTCAGAGTTCCATTTGTGAGCCACAGCCATGTTTTTTCTTCGTTAATTTGGCTCTCAATTCTTCCCAGGAACTGTCCATGGAGAGCCTTCTTTTGCCAGTTTTCTCTTCTGCTCTGGATTGTGTTTTTACGGTATTCACTCTTTGTCTTTTGCACTTGAAGCAGATGATGATGATGATGATGATGATGATGATTATTATTATTGACACAACAAGATGAGTCCACAATCCATACTTTGTTTTTTAACACGATTGTGAGGTCAGGAGTGTTGTGCTCCAAAATTCTGTTGTTGTTGCTGCTCTTGTTATTATTGTTGTCGTTGTTGTTGTTATCCTGCTTTTTTCTCTCAACAAAAAGACTATCTATCTATCTATCTATCTATCTATCTATCTATCTATCTATCTATCACAAACGCTGTTGGCTTGGAAAAGTGGCCCTTGGTGATATCACTGGGAATAAAAGAGGTGACATGTGCATAGGGGAGAGGAAGGAAAGAGCCACAAAGAAAGCCATGTTGCCAGATCTGGAGAAGGGAGAAATGGAAAAGAAAGGGGGGGGGGGGAGATAAAACAGGGAAGTAAAAGAGAAAGAAGGAAAGGAAAGAAGGCAGAAAAGAAGTAAGAAGAGAGAAAGAAAGAGAGCAACAAAGGAAAGAAAATGGAAGTAAAGAAAGAGAAAAGAAAGGGGAAAAGGTATGAAAGGAGGAGGAAGGGAAGGAAAGAAAAAAGTAAGTAAGTAAGTAAGTAAGTAAGGAAGGAAGGAAGGAAGCAAGCAAGCAAGCATCGGGCCTTTCTGACACCTGGGCAACACTAGGTATATACACTATCTATCTATCTATCTATCTATCTATCTATCTATCTATCTATCTATCTATCTATCTATAAAAATGAATTCGTTGTGTCCTGGAACATAAAAACATCACAATACATTTAAAATACCACTTTTAGATTGCCTTTATAGCTGGTCTTGTCTGGCTTTTACTATTCATCTAATATTTACTGTTCTGTCACCGCTGGAGCTAAAATTAAATGCTTCTAAGAGAGGATTCAAGGCTTGCGTCCAGCGGGAAGCCCGGGGGCCCGAGAAGGAGCCTTTAGAGGAACTTTCCCTACTAAGCAGGCTTTAGGAGACTTGAACTTAAATACAACAGTCTTTATTAACGAACAAGCAGGAATTGTAAGATTTCTAAATAGTCTATTGGGTTTTGCAGTCTTGTTTACAAGAAACAGGCACTATCTTCAAGAAACTTTGTTTAACAGAAAAATTCCCCTTTAAAGCTCCTCCCAGGCTGCTGTGAACTTAAACCTAACTAGTTTGAGTCTGCTACCGGCTGAACTGTGTCTCAGAACCGAACAGGCATACCATCAGGCTTGAAATCACTTAGCTGAAGATGAAGAGTTGTTATTCCCTCCGGAGGTCCTCAAGGCTGTGAAGCTGTTCCCTGGAACCCTTTGGGAATCCGTAGAGACCTTTAGTCTCTTCTTCCCCAGGAACTCTTAAAAGACGAAGCTTTTGCACAAGAGGAACGTCTGTACGCATCCTCTGCCTTGGCTTCCCTTGCTGTAACTAACTGAAAAATGGCCCCTTCCCTCCAAAAGGCAAAAAGGGGATGGGACCAGGGATCCTAAGTATAATTGGCAGGTGGCTTGCCCTATGATTGCAGCCTATAACAGGAAGCCACCTTGCTGCAAAATCCCAAGCCTGGGATTGCAAACAAACATTAACTGCAAAGCAAACAAAATAGGAGCTCCTGGTACAGCTGTACCAGCACATTTACTATCCCCATGAGTTGCCTTGGGTTCCAAAGGCAATATATGACTCATCGCTGAGCCTGGATCCCCAGGTTTCGGCGGTGACCAGGGGAGCATTCGCACAGTTAAGACTCGTGCGCCAACTGCGACCGTACCTTGGGAAGTCTGACTTGGCCACGGTGGTCCACGCTCTGGTTACATCCCGCCTTGACTACTGCAACGCTCTCTACGTGGGGTTGCCTTTGAAGACTGCCCGGAAGCTCCAACGGGCGGCAGCCATGGTTTTAACAGGAGCAGGGCGCAGGGAGCATACAACTCCTCTGCTGTACCAGCTCCACTGGCTGCCGATTAGCTACCGAGCCGAATTCAAAGTGCTGGCTTTGACCTTTAAAGCCCTAAACGGTTCTGGCCCTACATACCTATCCGAACGCATCTCGCTCTATCAGCCCACCAGGACCCTAAGATCTTCAGGAGAGGTCCTTCTCTCTATCCCACCTGCTTCACAGGTGCGGCTCGTGGGTACGAGAGATAGGGCCTTTTCTGTGGTGGCCCCCCGGCTTTGGAATGCCCTCCCTATGGAAATAAGATCAGCCACCTCGCTAATGGCATTTCGGAAAAAACTTAAAACTTGGATGTTCCAGCAAGTTTTTGGCTAACTTGACTTGATGATGTTTGTTCATGGATTAGCAACCTCGGACGACGAATTGGATTGTTGACTTAATAATGAGATGTTCTGGACTGTATTGGTGGCCCAATACTATGTATGTATATGTATGTATTTTATAGTGTAATTTTTATATTAAATTGTAATATTGTAGTTTTAATTATGCTGTAAACCGCAATGAGTCGCCATACAGGCTGAGATATTGGCGGTATATAAGCGCACCAAATAATAAATATATAATTCCAATAATAAGGCACATAGCTATGCCATATCAATATATGGCAAACTACAAAAAAAAACCCCATCCCTCCCACATACAAATAATATAAATTGTACCTATGTCCACATGGCCTGAGTTCAGTGTCGGCTATTTCATCACAGCAAAGGGTGCAGCAATTTTCTCGGATGCTCACTTGCTTCAACAAGGCCAAGCGTCTGTGTCTGAAAGCGAGAAATGGCAAATGGTATTGAAACCAAGAGTGTCAGGGCAACAGCAAAGGCTCATAAGAAATGTATATGAATATATTTTCCATCATGCTATACAGCAGAACATCTCAGTTTCATACCTGTAACCAAATCAGCATGCTGCAAGACACAGGGAAAACCAGCTGATTCCTAACCCATCTAAAACGCAGATGTGTGCTTTTCACATTAACAAAAGACAAGCATCTTGAACTCTGAGGATGACCTGGGAAGGAATCCCACTGAAACATTGAAGTACACCCAAATAACTGGGAGCCACTCTGGACCGTGCTCTGACTTACAAGAAGCTTGAATATCAAGCAAAAAGTGGGCGCTAGAAATAATATTATACGAAAGCTGACTGGCACAACCTGGGAATCACAACCAGACACAGTGAAGACACCTATCCTTTAATACTCTGCTGCTGAATATGCATGCCCAGTGTGGAATACCTCTCACCACGTCAAAACAGTGGATGTGGTTCTTAATGGGACCTGCCGCATTATCACAGGATGTCTACACCCCACACTGCTGGAGAAATTATACTGTTTAGCTGGTATTGCACCACCTGATATCCACCAGGAAGTAGCAGCCAATACTAAAATGACCAAGGCACTGACATCTCTGGTCCATCCCCTTTTCGGATATCAGCCAGCATGCCAACACCTTAAATTAAGAAATAGCTTACTAAGATCTACAGAGATACTTACAGGAGCTCTTCAGCAAGCGAGAGTCCAAAAGTGGCAGGCTCAAACCCAGTATCTCAATCAGTGGCTGAGACCAGGTAAGAAACTCCCTCCTGGGGACACAGAAGACTGGGCAACTTGGAAGGTGCTCAACAGACTATGCTCTGGCACCATGAGATGCAGAGCCAACCTTAAGAAATGGGGCTACAAAGTGGAATCCACGACATGCGAGTGTGGAGAAGAGCAAACCACAGACCACTTACTACCCTGTGATCTGAGCCCCGCCACATGCACAATGGAAGGCCTTCTCACAGCAACACCAGAGGCACTCCAAGTGGCCAGTGTCTGGTCAAAGGACATTTAGTACAATGCCAAGTTTTTAACTTTGTGGGTTGTTGTAGGTTTTTTTGGGCTGTATGGCCATGTTCTAGAGGCATTTTCTCCTGACGTTTCGCCTGCATCTATGGCAAGCCTCCTCAGAGGTAGTGAGGTCTGTTGGAAGTAGGAAAATGGGTTTATATATCTGTGGAATGACCAGGGTGGGACAAAGAACATTTGTCTGCTGGAGCTAGGTGAGAATGTTTCAACTGACCACCTTGATTGGCATTTGATGGTCTGGCAGTTATTTGGTGTGGCTTGTTAGTGCCTGGGGCAATCTTTTGTTGAGAGGTGATTAGATGTCCTTTTGTTTTCCCTCTGCTGTTTTGCTGTTTTAATTTTAGAGTTTTTTTAAATACTGGTAGCCAGATTTTGTTCATTTTCATGGTTTCCTCCTTTCTGTTGAAATTGTCCAGATGCTTGTGAATTTCAGTGGCTTCTCTGTGTAGCCTGACGTGGTGGTTGTGAGAGTGGTCCAGCATTTCTGTGTTCTCAAATAATATGCTGTGTCCAGGTTGGTTCATCAGGTGCTCTGCTATGGCTGACTTCTCTGGCTGAAGTAGTCTGCAGTGCCTTTCATGTTCCTTGATTCGTGTTTGGGCAATGCTGCACGTTTGGTGGTCCCTATGTAGACTTGTCCACAGCTGCATGGTATACGGTAGACTCCTGCAGAAGTGAGAAGATCCCTCTTTTCCTTTGCTGACCGTAACATTTGTTGGATTTTCTTGGTGGGCCTGTATATAGTTTGTGTGTTGTGTTTCCTCATCAGCTTCCCTATGCAGTCAGAGGTTCCCTTGATGTATGGCAAGAGCACTTTTTCTCTGGGTGGATCTTTTGGGTGGACAAGAGGGATCCTCTCACCTCTGCAGGAGTCTACTGTATACATGCAGCAAACAAATCAAGGAACATGAAAGGCCTGCAGACTACTTCAGCCAGAGAAGTCAGCCATAGCCGAGCACCTGATGAACCAACCTGGACACAGCATATTATTTGAGAACACAGAAATGCTGGACCACTCTCACAACCACCATGTCAGACTACACAGAGAAGCCATTGAAATCCACAAGCATGTGGACAATTTCAACAGAAAGGAGGAAACCATGAAAATGAACAAAATCTGACTACCAGTATTAAAAAAAACTCTAAAACTACAACAGCAAAACAACAGAGAGAAAACAATCTGGGACATCTAATCACCTCTCAACAAAAAATTGCCCCAGGCACTGCCAGGCCATCAAATGTTAATCAAGGTGGTCAGTTGAAACATTCACACCTAACTCCAACAGACAAGAGTCTTTTGTCCCACCCTGCTCATTCCACAGATATATAAACCCATTTTCCTAGTTCCAATAGACCTCACTACCTCTGAGGATGCTTGCCACAGATGCAGGCGAAACGTCAGGAGAGAATGCCTCTAGACCATGGTCATATAGCCCGAAAAAAAATACAACACCCCAGTGATTCCGGCCATGAAAGCCTTCGACAATACATTCTACAAAGTAGAGTTTGTGTTCTAGCTCCCCAGCTTGACCAACCAGCTCAAGCGGAAAATGTTACCTGGGTAAAATTATTTTCTCTTCTGCTGTCAGGAAGGCATAATTGTTAAAGGTGCTAAATTTAGCGGGTGGCGGATATTTGAAAGGTTTCGCTCCAAAGTTGAACTCGCACTGTTGGTAAGACATGAAGCTAGCTGCAGCAAAGAAGCCAGACCTACAAGGAAAAGGAGGAAAATATCAGCTAGGTATATATCAGGGCTGTCATTTAATATGATTGTTGTTCCTGGGTCATTTCCTAATTGGTTCTACGTATCATAAAAACATGGGAAGAGTTTATTGAACTGCAAGAACTGTTTTTGTGAAACATCCTGCAGTATGTTTTGCTATAGTTTTTCAAGGAATATCTCATCAAAGGGTCTCAACCAATTCAACCTAATTTGTCGCAGTCACAAAAACAATGTTTCTGAAGTAGAAAAACTGTTCAAAGTAAGGACCGAACAATTAAACAGGTAATAAAACTTTCAAACCAGGAACAGTTTTTTTTTCAAATTTTGTCACATAGTGTTATGGAAAAAGTGTATACTTTTTCTGCATAGTGGTTGGGATGGACCTTGGAGTGATGGTGCCAATGAGGGCTGTGTAAAGAAACTTCCCCTGGGAGTTATCCTGACCCATGTTCTGACTTATAGGAAGTCCTTCAAAAAGCTAGAAATAATAGCATACAACAGCTAACGGGCACAACCTGGGGATCACAACCGGACACAGTGAAGACATCTGCCCTTGCGCTATGCTACTCTGCTGCTGAGTATGCATGCCCAGTGTGGATGCTATTATTATTATTATTATTATTATTATTATTATTATTATTATGTTTTATTAACCATTTTAATGACCTCTATTACTAGTAATCATCATTTTATCAGTTATTATTTTAAATCGTAGTCAAGGAAGCAGTTAATCAGGCCAGGAGAGGATATTAATTTATTTCCTATATTTATACCCCGACCTTCTCACCCCCAATGGGGGGACTCAGGGTGGCCTCACAAACACCATACAGTGTCATCATAATAAAACAACAATACATTAAAATATTAAAACAATAATTAAAACAATTGATTAACACACACCTATTAAAATCAGAGTCTAAAATCCAGTCTGGGTCAAATCATTGCCATAAGTGTTGAAATCTTCTTTTACTTGCTGCTCACTAATTGAACGCTTGGTCCCAAAGCCAGGTCTTGAATTTTCTTCTAAAAGACAGGAGGGAGGTAGCCATTCTGATGTCTCTAGGGAGAGCGTTCCACAGGCGGGGGGCCACTGATGAGAAGGCCCTGTCCCTCGTCACCACCAATCGCGTTTGCGATATCGGTAGGGTCGAGAGCAGGGCCTCTCCAGATGATCTTAAGTTTCGTGATGGTTCATATCAGGAGATACGTTCGGACAGGTAGTCTGGGCCAGAACCATTTAGGGCTTTAAAGGTTAAAAGCAGCACTTTGAATTGTGCTCGGAAGCTGATCAGCAGACAGTGGAGCTGACGTAACAGAGGGGTTGTATGCTCTCTGTACGCCGCTCCAGTGAGCAGCCTAGCTGCCAACCATTAATTGAAGTTTCTGGGCAGTGTCAAAGGAAGCCCCACGTAGAATGCATTGCAGTAGTCTATTCGGGATGTAACAAGAGCATGGACAACCGTGGCCAGATCAGACTTCCCAAGGTACGGGCGCAGCTGGTGCACAAATTTTAGTTGTGCAAAAGCTCTCCCTGTGCCCGTTCCTAGGGAAGTCTGACTTGGTCATGATGGTCTACTGCAACGCTCTCTACGTGGGGCTGCCTTTGAAAATTTCTCAGAAGCTCCAATTAGTCTAGCGGTCGGCGGCCAGGTTGTTAACTGGAGCTGCGTACAGGGAGCGTACCACTCCTCTGTTGTGCCAGCTCCACTGGCTGCCGATTAGCTTCCAGGCAGAATTCAAAGTGCTGGTTTTAACCTTTAAAGTCCTGAATGGTTCTGGCCCAGATTGCCTGTCCGAACGTATCTCCTGCTATGAACCATCATGAAGCTTAAGATCATCAGGAGAGGCCCTGCTCTCGATCCCACCACTCTTGGGTGGGGACGAGAGACAGGGCCTTCTCAGCAGTGGCCCCCCGTCTGTGGAACTCTCTCCCTAAGGACATCAGGTTGGCGACCTCCCTCCTGTCCTTTAAAACACAACTGAAGACCTGACTCTGGGGCCAGGCGTTCGATGAGAGGCCAGCGGCAATAGGAAAAGGAAATTTGGATTTTGCGACATGGATTCTCCCGGCTCGGCTTGGTTTTTACTCACACGTTAATCTATTAATTTATTGTTAAATTTTACTGATGATGTTGTACAGTGTTTTAAAATGATTTTATTGTGAATTGTAATTTTTATGGTATTTATGCTGTTAGCATCCTCTGATGCTCATGTGAGCCCCCCTTGTTGGGAGAAGGGCGAGATAGAAATATATGAAATAAATAAATAAATAAATAAGAAGAGATCACCAAAACCAAGGGTAGAACCCAATGAATTAAAACAAAGTTACAAAGTGGTTGGTGCACTTTAGTTTTCACCTAATTTGGGTCCCCAGATGTTATGAAATGACAACTCGTATGATTGTGGATTATTCCATCAAGCTGACTGTGGATAATGGGCATGGCAACCCAACAACCCTTGTAGCTCTGAGATTGGGGAAAGGTTGAAGGGCAATTTAAAGCCAGACATCCTATCCACAAGCCTTGTATCTAAATTAAAACTACACACTCCTGGCTGAACAGAACAGACTTCAGCCTGCCAAATGTTTCTGTATCCCAACTCCCATCCTCTCTAGTCATGATATCAAATGATGAGGAATATAGGAGTTGTAGTCCAGCATTTGCGAAGCCACATGAAATGATCAGCCCATAAGCATTGTGTTTGACACATGGAGTACCTCTGCTGAGGACTAGAACTTCTATTTGCTCTGCTCTTTGGGACTAGCAGCATTTGCTGTACCAAAAAACAAAGGAGGAGAGGCACTACTGCACAACACAGCAAAACAAAGGTCAAGGCATATGGTAACCCTGGGTCTGAGATGACTAATGTTGTCCCAAGGCAAGTGCACGAGTTCCTTCCTGCTGCCATCGCAAGGTGGTTACGCCTTCGTTGCAACCCAACAAATACATATTTGATGGTGTTTTCCAGTGCTGCGAAACAATGTGAATTTTTAAAGTGCCATCAAGGGGATTGTGTACTTACACAGCAGAAGAAAAGACTTGCTTCTCAGCTGGAAGCTGGTTCCCATTTAAATAGAAAACCATCTTCTTGTCCTGCAGGTCGAGTAAAAATCCTATTGTGTCACCTTCAGCCAAGCGTGAAGACAAAAACAAAAGTGGTTATCGCTCTGATGAAAACACAATACACATGCCTACTGCCACCGCCCCCCCCCCCAAAATGTCTCATAACCCAAGCATGGATTCTTTAAATTCATGCTTGAAGAGGGAACATGTCTCTACAGAATGGAAGGGACTGCAGGAAGTTTCAAGCCAAAGCTGAATTTGCTAAATGTATACCGTATATGCTAGAGTATAAGCCAGGTTTTTCAGCCCTTCTTTAAGTCAAAGTTATCTATTATTTTACTCTATTATTATTATACTCTATTATTATTATTATTACATTTACATTACTTTATTATTTTTATTATATTTCTTACTCTATTTATTATTACTTTTATTTTTTTTTCTATTTATTATTGCTAATATTTATTATTTTACTTTAATTATTATTATTACATTTATTATTTTTCTCTATTATTATTATTATTATTATTATTATTATTATTACTACTACTACAACATGTATTATTTACTTTGCTGTGGCCCAGTCTGTATATATGTGTTTTTTATGTCTATATATGTGTTTATACGTGTGTATATATTTGTGTATCTGTGTATATATGTGTTTGTGTGTGTGTGTATATATGTGTGTGTGTGTGTGGATGTATGTATATGTGTGTATGTAGATGTGGATATATGTGTGTGTGTATATCTGTGTGTTTATATGTTTATATGTGTATATGTATATTGTGTATATGTGTGTGCTTGTCTATATGCATATTTTTGTGTATGTATGTGTGCACATATATATTTCTGTGTGCATATGTATATGTATAAATGTGTGTGTATGTATATGTATGTATGGGTGTGTATATTAGAGTGTGTTTGGGTATATATGTATGTGTGTATGTATGTATGTGTGCATGTGTATATGTATGTGTGTGTGTGTGTGTGTATGGTGTATTTTTGGGGTTTTTAAGTCCGTTCTGCTGGGGTGCTGCATTTCCCACCCTCGGCTTATACTCGAGTCAATACGTTTTCACAGTTTTATGTTGTAAAATTGGGTGCCTCGGTTTATACTCGGGTATATACGGTACTCTTTTGGGTGAGATCTAAAGCAATTCGTCAGCAAAGGCAAAAGACAGGAGGAAATGTGGCAAGGCAGGGAGCAAAGTTACCTTCCTTCCAGCACGGGTGGGAATGCGGTTTACTTCTGGCATTATACCAGATCAGCTGCCGGCAGCCGTCATATGCGCAGGAGTACTCATCGTCCCCGATACCATAACCTTCCTTCAGGGAAACAACAGAAGGTAGCATTTAATTTTCTTGAATCGTGAAAGAACAAGCAGAAGTCATAAATAGAGAATAAAGATCCAGCCTGTTCACATTCTGTCTGTAGTGTAGGTTTGCAGTTGGGAGGGCAGGATTACTGCTGGATTTGGCCCTGTATCAATAGTGACCAGGAGTACTTTTGCACAGTTAAAACCAGTGCACCAACTGCACCCTCTCCTGGAGAAGTCAGATCTGGACACAGTTATACATGCCTTGGGTACATCCTGGGATTTATTTATCATGTCAGAAACAAATTGAGGGTAAAGTTAAAATGTATTTAAAACACAAAGTAAAAAACCTGACATTATATTACATTTCCTTTGACCAGAAGCTTCTGGTGTGGCTGTGAGAAAATCCTCCATTGTACATGTGGCAGGGCTCAGACTGCATTGTAGTAGGTGGTCTGTGGTTTGCTCTCCTCCACACTTGCATGTCATGGACTCCACTTTGTAGCCCCATTTCTTAAGGTTAGCTCTGCATTTCGTGGTGCCAGAGCGCAGTCTGTTCAGCGCCTTCCAAGTCGTCCAGTCTTCTGTGTGCCCAGGGGAGAGTCTCTCATTTGGTATCAGCCATGGATTGAAGTTCTGGGTTTGAGCCTGCCACTTTTGGACTCTTGCTTGCTGAGGTGTTCCTGTGATTATCTCTGTCGATCTTAAGACACCTGCCTTCATGCTTTGCTACTTTGCTGCTGAGTACTCATGCCCAGTGTGGAACACATCTCACCACGCTAAAACAGGATGCGGCTCTTAATGAGACATGCTGCATTATCACGTGGTGTCTGCGCCCTACACCACTGGAGAAATTACACTGCTTAGCCGGTATTGCACCACCTGACATCCGCCAGGAAGTGGCAGCCAATAGTGAAAGGGCCAAGGCAGAGACATCTCCAGCTCATCCTCTGTTTGGGTATCAGCCAGCACGTCAATGACTTAAATCAAGAAATCGCTTTCTAAGATTTACAGAGACACTCGCTGGAACACCTCAGCAAGCGAGAGTCCAAAAGTGGCAGGCTCAAACTCAATCCATGGCTGATACCAAATGGGAGACTCCCCCCCCCCCCATGCACACAGAAAACTGGGTGACTTTGAAGGTGCTGAACAGACTGCACTCTGGCACCACGAGATGCAGAGCCAACCTCAAGAAATGGGGCCACAAAGTGGAGTCCGTGACATGCGAGTGTGGAGAAGAGCAAACCACAGACCACTTATTACAATGCACCTTTGCCCTGCCACATACACAACGGAGGACCTTCTTATAGCAACACCAGAGACACTCCAAGTGGCCAGGTACTGGTTAAAGGACATTTAGTATAATGCCAACTTTTTAAACTTTGTGTTTTTTTGAATACATTACAACTGATACATTACTTCTGATACGATAAAAAACAAATAATCCAAAACATTTAATTGTTTTTACACTTGCAATCATTTAAAATTCATCAGGTTTTGTCATGTCTCCATGGGGAGAGGAAAGAGGGGCAGAAACAAAATAAAATAAAAACATAAATGTATTTCAGTTTCCTTTCTGCAGAACCATAGGTCCAGAAGCGTATCCAAATGTTTTGTTTTTACAGACAGAAAAGCCTGGCGAGAGAACTGTTTGTTTTGATCATGAGATCCGAATACAGGTTCAAACACTGAGTCCATTGTGTGGCTGTGCTCTCACTGCACACTGGCACCTTCTTGCAGCCACCAGATGTGTGCTAACAAACCATTTAAAAGCTCCCAATCACTGAAAAGCCACTCCTCATGGAGGGATTTAATGCAGCCGACATACATGGGAGGAATACCAGAACTGAAAGGGCCCACTGGCCAAGGCTGTAGTGGTCTGCCGAACCCCTTTTCACAAGTCCCATCCTACTCTAATAATAATAATAATAATAATAATAATAATAATAATAATAATAATAATAATAATACTCTAACTTTCTTGCCCTTCATCCTTTCTAATAACTAATGCAGAGATAAGGTTTGCTTCTTTCCAAATGCCGGCTGAGATCTTTTGCCACGGCACCCAGTGTGCCAGTCACCACCGGGACCACCTGGACTGGTTTATGCCAGAGCCTTTGCAGTCCGATTTTTGAGGTCCTGATCACGGCTGAGTTTTTCCTATTGTTTTTCGTCAGTGTGACTGTCACCTGGTATGAAGACATCAATAATCCATTTTTTTTTCTTTTCCACAATCGTGATGTCTGGTGTATTGTGTTCCAAAACTTTGTCAGTCTGGATCCAAAAGTCCCACAGTATTTTTGCGTGTTCATTTTCCACGACCTTTGCATGTTTATAATCCCTTTACCAGTTCTTTACTGCTGGCAGGGGGTACTTGTGGCATGGGTTCCAGTGAATCATCTGGGCCACAGAGTTGTGCCTCTGTTTGTAGTCCGTCTATGCGATTTTCTTGCAGCTGCTGAGGAGATGATCCATGGTTTCCTCAGCTTCCTTGCACAGTCTGAATTTCTGATGGCTTGCTCCTGGGCTGCAAGAACCAGGCCTTCTTCTGTCTCCTTCTTCAGGGTTCCATTCATGAGCCATCACCAGGTCTTCTCCTTGTTAACTTTTCCTTCAGTTTTGTCAAGGAACTGCCCATGCAATGCTTTGTTGTGCCAGCTGTCAGTTCTGGTTTGGAGTGAAGTTTTCTTGTACTGACTCTTTGTCTGCTGAGCTTTGAGAAGTTTCCGATTATTGACTTCAATCAAAGAAGGTTCTTGGCTTTCCTTGACATATTCTGCCAGGGTGTGTTTTCCTTCTTCGACTGGTTGTTTGACTTGTAAAAGTCCTCTGCCACCAGACTTTCTAGGCAGATAGAGCCAGTCAACATTACTGCGAGGATGCAATGAATTATGAATTGTCATGAGTTTTCTTGTTTTTCTGTCCAAATTGTCCAGTTCTGCCTGCGTCCAGTTTATGATACCAGTAGTATATCTTATGACAGGCATGGCCCAGGTGTTTATGGCCTTGATGGTCTTGCCTCCATTGAGCTTGCTTTTGAGAATTTTTCTGACCCTTTGAATGTATTCTTTGCTGACCACAGTTTTCACCTGTTCATGTTTGATGTTGTCCAGCTGTAGTATGCCCAGATATTGATAGGCCTCTGGCTGGTGACACTTGATTGCCATTGGGCATATTCATGCCCTCACTTTCAATGATTTTTCCCTTCTTCAATGCCACTGTCGAACATTTGTCCAAACCAAATTCCATGTTGATATCCATGCTAAAGATTCGGACAGTGTTCGTCAGAGACTGGATTTCAGTTTCAGTTTTCCCATTCAGCTTCAGGTCATCCATGTACAGCAGATGTGAAATTTTGTGAGATCTCTGAGGTTTGTTTTTTGTAAGATTGTTGACAGAGGGATCATGGCAACGATGAATAGCAGTGGGGACAATGAGCCTCCCTGGAAAATTCCTCTTCCATTATTATTATTATTATTATTATTATTATTATTATTATTATTATTATTATTATTATTATTATTTGAAACACAACAAGATGAGTCCACAGCAAACAAGATCACTCTGCTGGCTGTTGTATTAGATCACACCTCGGACACTTCCCAAGTGTCTAGGACTATGTGATGTATCGGCAAATAATGCGTGCAGATCCCTTTTGCGGCTGGTAATTTTGTCAGCGCCAATTGTGTTTAAGTGGAGTCCAAGATCTTTAGGCACTGCACCCAGTGTGCTGATCACCACTGGGACCACATTGACTAGCTTGTGCCAGAGATGATGATGATGATGATAACTATTGTTTTCTCTTTCAAAAAACTATCAAAGCAGCTTACAGTGAAACCAATACAATATGATTTAAAAACCCCAAAACATGCCAACGTTAAAACAGAATTAAATATTAACAGTATTACAAATAAACAGTTAAACTCCTTAAAACCTATTCGTAGCTAAAACCACAGCACCCCCGTACTTGATCTTTGAAAACTCCTTCTTTAAAAGCAACTTTTGCAAGGACTTTATTTTAATTTTTCTTAGGCAGGCTGAAAACTCAGAGTGGAGGAGAGCTCCAATTCTAGAGGAAATTTCCAATTACAATAGAAGATAAAAATGTCTGGCACAAAGATAAAATCTCCCATCTCACCAGTTCTATTTTCAGACAAAAAGGCCAAGTCAGATGCTCTCCTTTCTGTCCTTAATTCTGCTTTAGACACGATTTATGCAAACAGCCAGAAGAATTTTGAGACATAGCGGAGACAGGAATTTTTCTAATCTCTTAATCATGCTTAAGGCTTTCATGGTCTGTCTGTATGGTTAAGGGATTAGGAACATATGCTGTCTCCCCGAAAAAAAAAATCAATGAGATATTTTCAACTCTTCAGACGTATCATTGCTAGTGATAATTGGCTTCAAGCAGATGCTGCAAATTCACAATATAATGTTGGTGGACCTGCAATGCTTTAACGCAGGGAAAGAACTGTGTGCGTGTGTGTTTGTGTAGGAATTTGGAGTTTGACAAGGACGTTCCAAAGGGAGAAGGCGGACTTACATGATTGAGGAATTTGCTGTCTTTGGTTGCCCATCCGATCTGCATCACTCCAGAAGTGACGACGGTGACTTCGTAATACCAGACTCCAGAATCCACACAGAAGGTACACCGGACGCTTTCAAAAGAGGAGGCGTCACATCGGGCCTAGCAAACAAAACGGAAGCATAACTGCATGACCTGCTTGCCTGGAAAAGCTATCCCATTGTTGACCATAACCTGGGGCTTTCTGAATTCTGTTGAAATTCAAATTTACCCATATTTCATCGCATAATGGTCGCCCCCACGTAATAGCTGCACCTCTCCTTTTCGTGGCTGTGAAGGGATTGCCTGGAAGAGCTATCCCATTGTTGAACATAACGTGGGGCTTTCTGAATTCTGTTGAATCTCAAATTTACTCATATTTCATCGCATAATGGTCGCCCCCACATAATAGCTGCACCTGTCCTTTTCGTGGCTGTGAAGGGATTGCCTGGAAGAGCCATCCCATTGTTGAACATAACCTGGGGCTTTCTGAATTCTGTTGAAATTCAAATTTACCCATATTTCATCGCAGAATGGTCGCCCCCACATAATAGCTGCACCTCTCCTTTTTGTGGCTGTGAAGGGATTGCCTGGAAGAGCTATCCCATGGTTGAACATAACCTGAGGCTTTCTGAATTCTGTTGAATCTCAAATTAACCCATATTTCATCGCATAATGGTCGTCCCCACATAATAGCTGCATCTCTCCTTTTCATGGCTGTGAAGGGATTGCCTGGAAGAGCTATCCCACTGTTGAACATAACCTGAGGCTTTCTGAATTCTGCTGAATCTCAAATTTATCCATATTTCATCGCATAATGGTCACCCCCACATAATAGCTGCACCTCCCCTTTTTGTGGCCCCAAAATTGGTATTTTAGGACTCCTCGAATAGTAGTCGCAGAGCCATTTGGGGCTGATTCCCCCTTCTTTCTCTGAACGCAAGGAAAGATTAAAAAAAAAAACCAGAAATTGAGGTCTCTGAACTCCATTCTTCCCTCCTTCCTCCAAAGAGCTCCATTTCAGATTTTGTAAATTGCCTTACCTTACACAGGCTCTTGGCTACAATCTACCATCAATCTACCATGGGAATGGCATCTAGGTCAGTGCTCCTCAAAGTGGTGGCCTCTGTGTGAGTACTGGCCTCTGTTTCCAGTAAAGACGGAAACAGTGGTAGACAATGTGCACAAATATGGCCCTTAGCCTCTGGCACACAGGAGGAAAATCCTGCCAGATACTTTGGGATGCACTGACCTAGATTTAATTTAGAGGCTTATTGTTTATTATTGTTCTTGTTTCACTTTTTATCATCGTCACATTGAGTAGCTTTGCAATATAGAACATGTTGTGTAATCTGTTGGAATACGACAGGACAGTGACGAGTAAACATTTTGGCAACTTGGAAGATGCTGCCAGTGGTATGCATGCTATAGAGCCTTTCCTTGCCAATGTCCCCAACCCAAATGAGTGAAGAGCAAACAGAAGCACAACCTAAGAAATGTAATGTGATTGGAGGCTTCCTGATTCTTTTTTTATTCGGCAGTTGTATTTGGCTACTCGTGTGTATATTTGCTCAATCTCTCTGATTTTAACTGATAGGATTTGAAAAGCGTTTTTGGAAAAGACAAGATCTTCACAGCCAGATGGGATTCTCATAACTGGTGCACGTAAGACTGGGCAAACAAAGAGCAAGAGGACCACAAGGGAAATGAGGAATACGTAACATCTTAGAAGTAAAAGGGGCACAAAAACCTACCTCCAACCCATGCGGTGAGATCTTAAGGTATTCACTGACGTCGTTACTGTTCAGCATGGCATTAATGTGGGTCAAGTCAACCTTCTCGTACGTAAACTGCCTCCCTTCTTTCAAAACTGCAAGAGAGAAGATAAAAGCGTCAAATTGGAAGCTGAATATCTGCTGTAGTGGTATTAATAATCCAGAACACAGTTCTGATCATTAACTTATGGCCTGCACATGTTGAACCACAACTTGAATCACTCCAAGCCAGCAAAGCCAGTGGTGAGGAATGGTGAGAGCCCGGCAACTTTTGGGTGGGTCACAACTTGGCTACTTTGTTGTACAGCAGTGGTGTTGGAGCTCAGCATGTGATTGTGTTTCAGGATCAGGGTGCTTTGGGTGTGGGGAGTGATGTCTATGAGTTTCAAGATGGCAATGGTTTGGCCAGTGATCTTGATGCAGAGAATGATCAGGAGATCCCTGTTCAAAGTGTAGTTTCCCATGAGAATGTCCCTGAGGGGTGTGGGGATGATGGTGTGCTTTCTGAATTGTTACCAGACAGTTCCTGTGATAAGGAACATGAAAACAGCTTGGCACCTGGCCCAGCTGCAGAAATTAATGAGCAAATAGATAGATGGGAAGAGATTAGTCAAAACAGGAGAGCAGAACAGTGGCTTTGGCGTTCTGCCAGATTCCAAGAGAAAAAGATAAGAAATTCTCAGCTAAAGCAAAACCAATTTCTGAGTGCTAGAGACTTAGCTAACGATGAGATAAAAGTCCCAAGTACAGGATATGTAGTCAGATGAAGCATCATTTGGAATCAAGTCAAGTTCTCATCCTTGTTCACGGAAGCTTTGCTTTGAAAATTCATGTTTTAAGTGCCTTTGTTTCATGGTTTTGATCTATGCTTCTATATTCATGCCTTGAGTTCATGTTTCCCGATTTCTTGCATTTTATTTGGGAAGTTTTGACTTTGTTTTTATGGACATTACTGGACTATTAACCTGGACTACTTTGTTCTTGCTTATCTTCCTACCTAATTGGATTTACCTATTTCTTTAAAGTGCTTTTTTACCTTACAGCTTTTTAATTATCTTCAATAAAAGATTTGTTTTCCATCCAATGGTGTGGCGTTTACAGTCAGAGGGCTTCTCCGGTCCTGGAGTGCAACAAGTGGTTCCCAACTTTTTTTTTTACAAGGAACTATTCTACAACATTAGTACCAAAAGGGTTACAAATAATTTTTTGGTCAACTTTAGATTCTGGTTGGTTATTTGGGGTGACGATTCAGAAAACTGCATTGGATAGACCACATCAGCTCTAGTTTCAGATACAGAACATATGACATCTAATAGTTGCCATCTGCTCACCCACAGAAAACCATATTTAATAATCCAACCATCCAGGAATTAAAGATCGTCTGGGGAGTCCCTGCTTTCGATCCCGCCTTCCTTGCAGGCACGCTTGGCGGGGATGAGAGACAGGGTCTTCTCAGTGGCGGTCCCTTGGCTGTGGAACTCCCTTCCCAGGGATATTAGATCAGCCCCCTCCCTCCTGACCTTTTGGAAGAGTAAAAACCTGGCTCTATGTGCAAGCTTTTGGTAACATGCCGTAATTGGATAAATACAGTATGATGAAATAACTAACATGGAACGGCTTAGATGATGCAAATGGACAAGGGGTCAAACTGCTAGACATTAATTATTATAGTTTTAATTGGTTTTTATATGGATTTTTATTATATGATATTAAATGTTTTAATAATTAAATGTTTTAGAACCAGACATCCTGAGGAGTGAGGTTGAATGGGCCTTAAGAAGCATTGCTAACAACAAGGCAGCAGGAGATGACGGGATCCCAGCTGAACTGTTTAAAATCTTAAAAGAGGATGATGTCAAGGTGATGCATGCCATATGCCAGCAAATATGGAAAACACAAGAATGGACATCAGACTGGAAAAAAATCAACTTATATCCCCATACCAAAAAAAAGGGAAATGTGAAAGACTGCTCCAACTTCCGTACAGTGGCCCTTATATCTCATGCCAGGAAGGGAACACTCAAGATCCTGCAAGGAAGACTCCAGCAAGACATGGAGCGAGAGTGGCCAGATGTTCAAGCTGGGTTTAGAAAAGGCAGAGGAACCAGAGACCAGATTGCCAATATCCGGATGCTGGAGAATGGAGAAAGGCAGGGAGTGTCAGAAAAACATCTACTTCTGCTTCATTGACTATTCTAAAGCCTTTGACTGTGTGGATCATAATAAATGGTGGCAAGTTCTTGGTGGGATGGGCATCCCAAGCCCCCTTCCCTCTCTCCTGAGGAATCTGTACAAGGACCAAGGAGCAACAGTCAGAACTGACCACGGAACAGGAGACGGGTTCAAGATTGGGAAAGGCGTCCGGCAAGACTGCATCCTCTCACCCAACCTTTTTAACTTGAATGCAGAACACATCATGCGAGGATGTGCGGGTTTGATGAATGCAAAGCTGGGGTGAAAATGGCTGGAAGAAACATTAACAACCTCAGATATGCAGATGACACCACTCTGATGGCCGAAAGCGAGGAGGAGCTGAGGAGCCTTCTAATCAAGGAGAAAGAAGAAAGCGCAAAAGCCGGGTTGCAGCTAAACGTCAAAAAAACCAAGATTATGGCAACAAGAATGATTGACAACTGGGAAATAGAGGGAGAAAATGTGGAGGCCGTGACAGACTTTGTATTTCTAGGTGCAAAGATGAGTGCAGATGCAGACTGTGGCCAGGAAATCAGGAGACGCTTCCTTCTTAGGAGGAAAGCAAGGTCCAATCTCGACAAAATAGTAAAGAGTAGAGACATCACACTGGCAACAAAGATCCGCACAGTCAAAGCCATGGTCTTCCCTGTAGTCACCTACGGATGTGAGAGCGGGACCTTAGGGAAGGCTGAGCGAAGGAAGATAGAGAATTGTAGTGTTGGAGGAAAGTGCTGAGAGTGCCTTGGACTGCGAGAAGATCCAACCAGTCCATCCTCCAGGAAATAAAGCCCGACTGCTCATTGGAGGGAAGGAGACTAGAGACAAAGTGGAAGTCCTTTGGCCACATCATGAGGAGACAGCAAAGCCTAGAGAAGACAATGATGCTGAGGAAAGTGGAAGGCAAAAGGAAGAGGGGCCGACCAAGGGCAAGATGGATGGATGGCATCCTTGAAGTGACTGGACTGACCTTGAAGGAGCTGGGGGTGGTGACGGCCGACAGGGAGCTCTGGCGTGGGCTGGTCCATGAGGTCACGAAGAGTCGGAGACAACTGAACGAATGAACAACAACAAATGTTTTAAATTGATATGAGATTCAGAAGTGATGTGAGATGAATTTTTAAAGGGGGATGTTGAGCAAACAAAGGGTTTTGAGAGATTCCCCAAGGAAAACTTTCCTACCATCCTCTACTGTACTGCTTCTAGGCTGAGTGGTCCCATTCACCAGTAGCTCCAGCTTTGGATATCTTTCTCGTTTAATCCGGTCAGATCATAAATTCTGATTTCAAGAGCTACATGTGATAGTATCAACTGTTTGTTTAACTGTCTACACAAAACAGTGTTTTGAACCCTTTGATGCATGTAATAAACAATGAGATCTTACTTACACAGATTATCTAAACTCCACTGAGCGCAGAAACCGACTTGGCGCTTTAAGTAGTCTGGATTATCCATCCATTTCTCTAGCAAGACAAGTTGGTCACTGATGCAAGTCTGGGAAACAGTCACTTTATTTTCACCTAGTGAAAGGAAAGGAGGGCAAGGGAAGGAATGGTTCAAACATGTAAACAGATCCAGTCTTCCAAACCTTGGGAACAGAAAGTGGAAGAATGTTTTTCAGAGATCTTGCCCATAGCATCTTGGGCATTACCTAATTTTGAAGCAGTGGGGAGACCTTTAGGAGTTCTCTCATGACATCCATGTTTTCCATGAAGACCTCAAGTGGGGAAAGTATCAGTTGACGTTGAGCACGACAAAACAGGAGTTGGGCACAGTATTTTTCCCCTCAATATGTCCTCTGCTTTTAGTTATATATCTATACATATCTATATCTTCTATGTAAATAATAAAAGTCAGTGTTTGTATGCAGAGAGAGGGCGGTGTATGTGGCAGCGTTCTGATTGGCTGACACATTCACAGCTCTCTGATTGGCTGCCACATACATCCTGGTGCAGTTTGGAGGAGGTGGACCATGGATGATGGGACCTGCAGTACCTTCGTTCATGTCCTGAGACCACTGCAACCTACATCAATGACTGATCAAGACCAAACTTCATACACAGAGCCCCCTGACCCACTCTACAACCTGGTGCAGTTTGGAGGAGGGTGGACCATGGATGATGGGACTTGCAGTACCTTCACTCACTTCCTGAGACCACTGCGACCCTCATCCAATGACCGATAAGCACCAAACTTCATACACAGAGCCCCCATGACCCACTCTACATCCTGGTGCAGTTTGGAGGACGATGGACCATGGACGATTGGACTTGCATATGGGAGTTGTAGTTTACCCATACCCACTGAACCCAGATGACATTGGATCTAGACTAAAACTGCAACACAGACAAACAATGCCTTTCTCAAATAACCTGGGCACTGCCGGGTCCCCAAGTTAGTACATAATAAAAATGAAAATATGTATGTATATGTGGCTGGGGTGTCCACTTACACAGACAAGCTCCTGCCAACACAAACAGCTATAATCATCACCACTCAAGATCTACCAATGCCCCTACCTTTAATGACATTGCAGGTTATAGCGAGTGCCATGAACATGTCCAAGAGCCCTGCCAATGTCCTCCACAAACACCATACTGCCCACCACTCAAGTGAAGGCTTTCACTTGGGGACAATTTCATCCTAGATTTTGTGTGTTTCCTCCGCCACAGGCATTGTGTTTCTTACTCTCCCCATTGGTGTGGAACATGACCCCGCCACTGCCTCTCCCATAACCCTTTCCTATGCTTTTCTATGGCACACAGCAAACAAAGTAATTGATCAGCAACAACATACTAGAGAGGTTTGGGGAGAATTCACCATGAATTATAGGAGTTGTAGATACTGGGATGTATAGTTCACCAGCAATCTAAGAGAACTCTGAACTCCACCAACACGACCCTGCCCACTGCAAGTAAACACTTACTTGTTTGTGCAAACTTTTCCAGGGCTATTAGTGCAAAAAGCATTACTGTTGGGTGGGACTGGAACTCCTAAGACAAAGAAGAAAAATATGGGACATAGTATTCCTCTAAGTAGCCCCTGCAAACAATATATATTTTTACTGCTATTTTCCCACATGGCGAAAAAAAAATGCTGTGCTGGACAAATTTGCATTGTCAAGACAAAATATTTGTTTTTCAACACAACAGGAATGATGTAAAGACAGAGTTTATTTCAGAGATCCAGGAAACAAAGTCCTATACATGCGAGCTATTCTGAATTCAGATATCTTGGCAGACAAAAGTTAGAGCAACCACAGAATGCAGGAAGGAAGTAATGCATGAGTTGGCAGGAAGGAGCTAATACTGGATTGTGTTTCACATTGCTGGATCGCGACATCTGGACCAAGCCACAGATAGAATGAAACATTCAGGATGACTGGGTTGTTGTAGGTTTTTTCGGGCTATATGGCCATGTTCTAGAGGCATTCTCTCCTGATGTTTCGCCTGCATCTATGGCAAGCATCCTCAGAGGTAGTGAGGTCTGTTGGAACTAGGAAAAAGGGTTTATATATCTGTGGAATGACCAGGGTGGGACAAAGAACTCTTGTCTACTGGAGCTAGATGTGAATGTTTCAACTGACCAGCTTGATTAACATTTGATGGCCTGGCAGTGCCTGGGGCAGTCTTTTGTTGAGAGGTGATTAGATGTCCCAGATTGTTTCCTCTCTGTTGTTTTGCTGTTGTAATTTTAAGAGTTTTTTAATATTGGTAGCCAAAATTTGGTCATTTTCATGGTTTCCTCCTTTCTGTGGAAATTGTCCACATGCTTATGGATTTCATTGGCTTCTCTGTGTAGTCTGACATGGTGGTTGTGAGAGTGGTCCAGCATTTCTGTGTCCTCAAATAATATGCTGTGTCCAGGTTGCTTCCTCAGGTGCTGTGCTATGGCTGACTTCTCTGGTTGAAGTAGTCTGCAGTGCCTTTCATGTTCCTTGATTCGTGTCTGGGAAACGCTGCTGCGTTTGGTGGTCCCTCTGTAGACTCCTGCAGAAGTGAGAGGATCCCTCTTGTCCTTGGCTGAACGGAGCATTGGTTGGATTTTCTTGGTGGGTCTGTAGATTGTTTGTATGTTGTGTTTCCTCATCAGCTTCCCTATGGAGTCAGAGGTTTCCTTGATGTATGGCAAGAACCCTTTTCTCCTGGGTGGATCTTTGTCTTAACTCTTGTGGCTTGTTCTCGGTCTTGCAGCTCTTTTGATGTCTGAGGTGGAGCAGCCCCAAAGACAAATCAAGGAACATGAAAGGCACTGCAGACTACTTCAACCAGAGAAGTCAGCCATAGCACAGCACCTGATGAACCAATCACCTCTCAACAAAAGACTGCCCCAGGCACTGCCAGGCTATCAAATACTAATCAAGATGGTCAGTTGAAACATTCACACCTGGCTCCAACAGTCAACAGTCCTTTGTCCCACCCTGGTCATTCCACAGATATATAAACCCACTTTCCTAGTTCCAACAGACCTCACAACCTCTGAGGATGCTTGCCATAGATGCAGGCGAAATGTCAGGAGAAAATGCCTCTAGAACATGGCCATATAGCCCGAAAAAACCTACAACAACCCAGTGATTTCAGCCATGAAAGCCTTCGACAATACACTCAGGATGACTCCTGGCCGTCCATTGAACTCACCCGAGAAGGAGTTGCTCTATGACAGTGGTTCTCAACCTGTAGGTCCCCGGATGTTTTGGACTTCAACTCCCAGAAATCCTAACAGTTGGTAAACTGGATGGGATTTCTGGGAGTTGTAGGCCAAAACACCTGGGGACCCACAGGTTGAGAACCTCTGCTCTACGGACTCAAGGGCAAAGGCTCTTTCTGTTGTGACAAGTCTTACACCAAGACGTCCTATCCAGGGAATATTAAAAGTAAAGATTTCCCCTGACATTAAGTCTAGTCATGTCTGGCTCTGAGGAGATGATGGTCATCTCCATTTCCAGCATTGTCCATAGACACCTCCAAGGTCATGTGGCCAGCATGACTGCATGGAGCGCCATAACCTACCAGCAGAATCGGTATTTATTCATGTTAGCATGTTTTCAAACTGCTAGGTTGGCAGAAGCTGGGGCTAACGAAGGGAGCTCACCCTGCTCCCCAGATTCGATCCGCCGACCTTTCGGTCAGCGAAATCAGCAGCTCAGCGGTTTAGCCCACTATGTCACTACTGGTTTCGATTCTTAAGTTTTGTGTGAGCCACACAGATGCTTTGGAATGGCTTCCGATTTACAAAATTTCCAATTTTCTTGCAATTTCCGATTCATACGATTTTTTTGCACACCTCATACAAAAGCAAGTCCTTTCACTCTAATTCAGGATATTAAAGAGGAACAGAAGTTAAAAAATGGAATTTCTAGAATTGAAAAATAAGGCACCTTTGTTCCTGCTCTGTAAGTAGACATAGAGATTAAAGGGAAAATGCAGTTTGTAATCTGCCCACCTCAGTCTTAAATGATACAATCGTTTAATAGTTTTGGTTCTATGAGAATATTCCTATTTTGTACATCACTTGAGGCGTTTTGAAAAGGAGAAGGAAAATGACAAATATAACAATAAACACATGGCATGGTGCAAATTCAGAGCAGCACTTATGAGGTGTGCAGATCCACTGGTATCCACAACATTTAAGAACTTAGAGCACTTCTGTAACAATTGATACTCACCAAGCTCTGCAGCAAGTATTCCAAGATTCCTTCACTGAGTAAACCTACACTTGCAGGACCTGTAAAAACATTAGATATGAAACACTCACTTCGAACTTCTTTAAAAGTTGCTCCTATGCTATCTTACTTTGAGGGTAACAAAGGCAGAAAACTCTATTATACACCAGAGCTTTTCATGGCTAATTGCCCCATTTATTTTATTTTTTACACCAACCATGCAAAGAATGTATTTGTAGGTGTTGGGAGGTGGAGAAACAGAGCTAAGGGCTTTCAAGACTTATAATTGCAATTAATTAAAGCCTTACGTATTGATTCAGGACTTGGGAGAATGTACCATATACTAATATACATATACATATATATATATATATATATATCCTAATATGCATATATTATATGTACAATATACATATAATATTGATAATAATATTATAATGTAATACAATATAATACTAATAATAATGTGATATAATAATTGTATATTATATATTACATGTATTATTACTAATAATATTGCAGTATAGTGGTATAGTACAATATAATGATATATAATACTAATACTGTGCAATGCTAATAATTATAATATATTTTATGTACACATAATATTGACCAAAAATAACATAATAAATAAATAAATAAATAATAAAAATAATACAATATAATAATAATAATAAAGTAATATATTTTATATTACATGTAACATTACTAATAATATTGTAGTATAGTGGTATAGTACAATATAATTATATATAATACTAATACTGTGCGATGCTAATAATTATATTTTATGTACACATAATATTGACCATAATATTATAAAATAACATAATTAATAATAATAAATAATAATAAAATAATACAATATAAAAATATAATAGTTATATATTTTATATTACATGTAATATTACTAATAATATTGCAGTATAGTGGTATAGTACAATATAATTATATATAATACTAATATTGTGTGATGCTAATAATTATAATATATTTTATGTTCACATAATATATAATAATATTGACCATATTATTGTAAAATAACATAATAAATAATAAATGATAATAAAATAATAATAATAATACAATAATAAAATATAATATAATAGTTATATATTTTATATTACATGTAATATTGCTAATAATATTGTAGTATAATGGTATAGTACAAGATAATTATATATAATACTAATATTGTGCGATGCTAATAATTATATTTTATGTACACATAATATTGACCATAATATTGTAAAATAACATAATAAATAATAATAAAATAATACAATATAATATAATAGTTATATATTTTATATTACATGTAATATTACTAATAATATTGTAGTATAGTGGTATAGTACAATATAATGATATATAATACTAATATTGTGCGACGCTAATAATTATAATATATTTTATGTACACATAATATTGACCATAATATTGTAAAATAACATAATAAAATAATACAATATAATAACCTAATAGTTATATATTTTATATTACATGTAATATTACTAATAATATTGTAGTATAGTGGTATAGTACACAATGGTAATATATAATACTAATATTGCGCTATGCTAATAATATAATAAATTGTATGTACATATAACTTGGAAGCTGCTCTCAATCCCCTTCGAAGTGAGAAGAGCAGAATATAAATGTTGTAAGTAAATAAATAATAAATAAATAAATACTATGTGTATGATGGCTGACGAAGTCCAATATATTTACTGTAAGCAGAGGATAGGTCAAAAGGGAAACTTAGAGATAAATCACCATACTATTAACTACCCTCTCTGTTGTAACAGAAATACTGGTAATTCTCTTACCTGCAAGCTTCTCTGCCAAACAGCCGAGGACGGCGGTGGTGTTCCGATGTTTGGCAGGATGGCACGCATCCTGGCGCGCAACGGCTCCGCTTAAACTTAATATCTCCGTCAACTTCTGCAATGCATCCTAAACGGGAAAGTTAGCATGTTGCTGAATGAAAAAGCACTGGCACATTTTCTCTCCTAATTCAGTAAGTTGATAGGAAGGCTCAAGAACCTATTCCCCCCACTGCTTAACATTGTAAGCATTGTAAGTCTGCTCTATTTGGTGCACTTATTTTGTGATACTGTAGTTCTGGAATTTCAAGGAAGCCAAGAAATATACTGGAGGCCTTTGGAGGGATTTATAGTAGTTGTAGTGCACCTCCATCCAGAGCACATTATGAACCCAAACAATGATGGATCTAGACCAAACTTGGCATGCATATCCATTAGGCCCAAATTTGGATACTGGTGGGTTTTGAGGGGAATTGGCCTGGACATTTTGGAGTTGTAGGTTGTTGTGGGGAGTAGTACAGCCAGAGAACACACTGAACCTCACAGATGATGCATCTAGAGCAACTAGATGTCTTTTCTTTGAACTTACTTTTGTTGGCAAAGGACACTCATCCAGTAGTAACGTTATAACAGCTGGTCCCAGGGGATCTTCTAATGGAATAACTCTAATTAACGATTGGACAACTTCCAGCCAGCCTTCATCTGCCAACCACAGAAGAGAGGCAAGTATCTTAGATTGACAAGAATAGATGGAGGCCCATCAAAAAAGGAAACAAGACTTTTCATTTCAGTAAAACCTTGACAATTCATTTGTTGGACTCATCTCAACCATCCCTTTAAAGAGTTAACAATCACCTAGTGGAACATATCTCAACAGCAGAACAAATGTAGGGGCTTCCTGGAAAGCAGGCAACTATTCATAGATCCAGGGAGTAGCACAAGTTCTTGCAGGCATGTTTAGCTCTTCCCCATTTCGACATCCAGTGATGACTTAACTTTTTGCTCTCCAACCTGATCTTTCATGGCCAGTGCTGGCGTCTGACTCTAGACATTTCTACCAGTTTTTCATTTGCAAATTCAGTTGCAACTGACTGCATGCACAAAATGAACTTTATTTATTACTACAGCTTATATAAGATTTCTGCTTTCCTTCTACTTTGTCCTCACTGAAGCTCCTTTACCTGCTCTGTCACTTCGTGTTCCATTACAGAGTGATTCTCAATTGTCCTGTTATTTAAAAAGCAAAATGTCACTAGCATGTCTAGATCTCATAAATAGCCAACTCTCCAACTACAGGAGATCCACTGGATCCATCGGGACAGGGTAAATTCTAATGATCCCATGGGCCTACTCTACATCAGACTAACAACTGTGTTTATTTATTGATGACATTTATATGCCGCCCTTCTCACCCCGAAGGGGACTTAGAGCAGCTTACAAGATATATATACATATTATATTATTAGCATAGTACAATATCAGTATTATATATTACTATATTGTACTATACCATTATATTGTAATATTATTAGTAATATTACATGTAATATAAAATATATAATTATAATATTGTATTATTAGTAGTAGTATTATATTGTATTACATTATAATATTATAAATATTATAGGTAAAGGTAAAAGTTATATTTATATGCTGCCCTTCTCACCCCGAAGGGGACTCAGAACAGCTTACAAGATACATACAATATATTATTAGCATAGTACAATATCAGTATTATATATTACTATATTGTACTATACCATTATATTGTAATATTATTAGTAATATTACATGTAATATAAAATATATAATTATAATATTGTATTATTAGTAGTAGTATTATATTGTATTACATTATAATATTATAAATATTATAGGTAAAGGTAAAGGTTATATTTATATGCCGCCCTTCTCACCCTGAAGGGGACTCAGAGCGGCTTACAAGATAGACATACATACAATATATTATATTATTAGCATAGTACAATATCAGTATTATATATTACTATATTGCACTATACCATTATATTGTATTACATTATAATATTATAAATATTATAGGTAAAGGTAAAGGTTATATGTATATGCTGCCCTTCTCACCCCGAAGGGGACTCAGAGCAGCTTACAAGATACATACAATATATTATTAGCATAGTACAATATCAGTATTATATATTACTATATTGTACTATACCATTATATTGTAATATTATTAGTAATATTACATGTAATATAAAATATATAATTATAATATTGAATTATTATTAGTAGTATTATATTGTATTATTATTATTAACTTTATTTATACCCCGCAAAATCTCCCGAAGGACTCGATGCGGCTTACAAAGGCCAAGGCCGCCGACAACAACCACATACAATACACAATAAACTTATAAGCAAATAATAAAACATCAAGCAAAACAATAAAACAGTAAAACGATGACACTGTGACGCAATTAAAACCAAAGGCCGGCCCAAATGTAATGGACAAAATTTTAAAAGTGCTGAACTTGACAGGTAATATGTAGAGGTATTTGGAGGTAGGTGCAATGTGCAGATAATCCTGACTCTCTAGCAAGGTGAATTTAGGACTTGAAGCCAGGAGTTTCCTATTCTGGGAAGGCACACTGGAACAGCCAGGTCTTCAGGCTCTTCCTAAAGACAGCCAACGTTGGGGCTTGTCTGATGTCCTTGAGGAGAGAGTTCCAGAGAATATATTTATAATATTACATTATAATATTATAAATATTATAGATAAAGGTAAAGGTTTTCCCCTGACATTAAGTCAAGTCGTGTCCGACTCTGGGGTGTGGTGCTCATTTCCATTTCTAAGCCGAAGAGCCAGTGTTGTCCGTAGACACCTCCAAGGTCATGTGGCCAGCATGACCGCATGGAGCGCCGTTATTTATTTATATACAATATTTATTGTATATAAATGTTATATGTATATACAATATCTTAGGAACTCATTACCTGGAGAAATCAGGAAAGCCCCTTCTCTAGAAACGTTCAAAAAGAACCTTAAAACTTGGCTCTTCCACTGCGTCTTTGGCGAGTAGGTGCACAATATGACACCATAGCAGTCCTCAACGCTCTTCCCACTGGAATACACACCCTCCAAATAGGAAGTTTAGCTTCACAACTCTGTGTGTTTTTATGACTTCCCTGCAAATAAGTTGCTCCTATTTTTATCTCATTGGAGTCTTTTAATCGTTTTATCCTGTACATGTGGCCCGCCCACTGTTAGTGATTGTGCTTATTGGAATGTTATTTTATGACTGTGTTCATATATTTTTTTTCTTTCCTTTATGTAATTTTGATGATGTTGTTTATTGTTTATGCTCTGGTTTTATCTTGTTGTAATATGTTGTCCGGGCTTGACCCCATGTAAGCCGTTCCGAGTCCCCATTGGGGAGATGGTGGCGGGGTATAATTTTTTAATATATATATATATATATATATATATATATATATATATATATATATATATATATATTACTGTATTTGTATACCGCCTTTCTCAGCCATATCGGCGACTCAAGGCGGTTTCCAACAAAACAGCATACATATTATCACAACACAATTAAAACATTATAATTACATAAACCACAGCAGCAATAAAACAACATCATTAGCGTCTCCTTATTGTCAAACATTGTCCAATTCCATCGTCAATCATCGAATTCCTATATCATTTATCCATATCTGTTACTCTGTGTTTGTGAATGCTTGTTCAAACAGCCACGTTTTGACTTGCTTCCGAAACGTTAAAAGGGAAGGAGCAGATCTAATCTCTCTAGGGAGGGTGTTCCATAGCCGGGGGGCCACTGCTGAGAAGGCCCTGTCTCTCGTTCCCGCCAAACGTATCTGTGACAAAGGCGGGACCGAGAGCAGAGCCTCTCCGGACGATCTCAAAGTTCTAGATGGTTCGTAAGGGGAGATACGTTCGGACAGGTAAGTTGGGCCAGAACCGTTTAGGTTTATTATTATTATTATTATTATTATTATTAGATGATGATGATGATGATGATTATTATTATTAAAGCACAGGAGACAAGATGGAACTGTCTTCTGCCCCCCCCCCCCCCCTTTCACTCTGGCCAGAGCAGCAGTTGGTGCCGGAGGGGTTCCCAACTGATAATATAGGCAGGAGACAAGAGTGTTTAGGCTTAAACAACTCATAATTTGCTGGCGTTTCAAAAGATCTAAATCTGCTTCCTAAGGCAGTCATGTCTTGGTAATCCGTAATGGGAGCAGAAGAGTTCCAATCTCTGAAACTTTTCCAAGTTCAAAAGATATAGCAGCATTTTGGGACACACCTTCCTCCTCCTATTAAGCTCTCCAGACATTATTTAACTATTTACCCCTCAAACTGGAAGCAGACTGCATAGTTTTTCCTTTCCCGATCTGAGCAACTATATTTGCTAGCTCACCATAAAAGCTTGTTAGCTTTGTGGCAGCTGGCAGGCCGATTTTGCAACAACATACCTCATAAATTTAGCCAGATTAGACAGGTACACATATTAAGCTAATTACCGCTTTACTGAGCTCATTGTCAAGTTGTGATACTACTTAGATAATCAGTATAAATTGCCTCAACTCTCAGAAACAAAGATACAGTGCCACCTTAAGCTTTTTTCCAGAGCTAAATGGTTTTTCGGTCGAGCACAACGAGAGCATTGCGTAAGAACACTGAGATACCTGTTTCAGCCATTTCATGCAAAGTCATCATGGAATAAGGAGGTTCCTGATCACTGAGGAAAGAAAGAAAAAATAACATGATGAAAACAATCACAAACACAGTCCTCAAGAGTCTTCAACTTGGACTCTTAGCTTTTAAGTACCATGTGACATCTATATAAATAAAAATGTAATATGTAATACAGAAAATACTAGAACAGTTTGGTGGGCATTGATCTTGAGTTTGGGAGTTGTAGTTCACCAACATCCAGAGGGCACTTTGGACTCAAACAATGATGGATCTGGACCAAACTTGGCATGAATGTTCCATATGCCTAAATATGAACACAGATGGAGTTTGGGGAAATAGATCTTGACATTTGGGAGTTGTAGTTACTGGGATTTATAGTTCACCTACAATCAAATAGCATGCTGAACGACAGAATTGGGGCAAACTTTTCACACAGAACCCCCATGACCAACAGAAAATACTTAAGGCCATCCAACCCTCTTCACCAGGGCAAGAAAATGTAATCAAAGCCCACTTGACAAAGAGCCATCCAGCCAGAGATATAGATATACATGATTCTCACACACACAGATATAGTATCATATATTTGAAAGGGACCCCTAAAGAAGGTCAATGATATGTTGCATGTTCCAGAGTAAGCAAACCAGACAATCTCCACATCAACACTGACAAAGAAACAGCAAGAAATACTGTTTACCCACAAGCAGAAAGAAATTACATATATTAGAAACAAATAGTTTCTCATTACTTTATTTTCCAGATCACCAGGCTGGGCTCTTTGTCAGGAGGGTTTTGATTACGTTTTCTTGCCCTGGTGAAGGGAGTTGGACCGGGTGGCCTTAAGTATGGGGGTTCTGTATGGGAAGTTCACCCCAATTCTGTCATTGGTGGTGCTCAGAATGCTCTTTGATTGTAGGTGAACTATAAGTCCCAGTAACCACAACTCCCAAATGTCAAAGTCTATTTTCCCCCAAACTCCATCTGTGATCATATTGGGGCATATGGAATATTCATGCCAAGTTTGGTCTGGATCCTTCATTGTTTTGAGTCCACAGTGCTCTCTGGTTGTAGGTGAACTACAACTCCTAATCTCAAGGTCAATACCCACCAAACCCTTCTAGTGTTTTCTGTTGGTCATGGGAGTTCTGTGTGCCACGTTTGGTTCAATTCCATCATTACTCTTTGATTGTAGTTAACTATAAATTCCAGCAACTAAAACTCCCAAATGACAAAATCAATTTTAAAGTGAATGACATACATTGGGTTGTTAGGTGTCTTGTGTTCGATCGGGCCAACAAGTGACCACCTATCTATATAAATAAAAATGTAATGCTCATTTGTGGGATTAACAGAACTCAAAAACCACTGGACAAATTGACACCAAATTTGGACACAAGACACCTAACAACCCAATATATGTCCTTTACTCAAAAAAATTGATATATATAATTTAAAAACTTAAAAAAACACAACATCTGGCTGAACCAAGAATGGAAATCTAGACAGATAATGCATAGTTTGTGAGAAACCACAGAATTTCTCTACATTGTGCAAAATAATAATAAATAAATAGCTGTTTTGAAACCTTTGGAGAGAACAGCTGTCTGCAAAACTGAAAATGCAAACAATGCTCCCAACTTGGCAAGCCAGGTCCCTTCTTCCACATGGCAGAGAGTCCCGAGATCATTGCCATAATCAACCCTGAACAGCAGAGCTCAAAGACTGAAAACGTTTATACATCTCACTTTATTGGAGAGAACGCTGGGCTGCCTTCCAGGATTCCATACATTTTCATTTATTTATTTGGGAGGGAAACTCTTCTATGGTATATGGAGCTTGCAACCATTTAAAACACTTAAAGGAAAGCCAACAAAAGACGGCAAGGCAATCAATACTAAGTAGTGGCTGGTGCAGCATATTAAAACTAAAAGCAAAGAGGTTTGGCCACTAAAGACCTGCCAACTGGAGGAAGAATGCCTTGGTTAGGGGCTGAAAAAATGTGTATGGGGAGGAATAGATCTCCAATGTTCAGGAATTCCACAATCAAAACACAACTTATACTGAAGAATGGAAAACTGAATGTCAGAGGGCAGGAAAAGAGATTTAAAGATGGGCTCAAAGCCAACCTTAAAAACTCTGGCATAGACACTGAGAACTGGGAAGCCCTGGCCCTCGAGCACTCCGGCTGGAGGTCAGCTGTGACCAGCAGTGCTGTAGAATTTGAAGAGGCATGAATAGAGGGCGAAAGATAGAAACGTGCCAAGAGGAAGGTGCATCAAGCCAACCCCGATCGGGACCACCTTCCACCTGGAAACAAATGCCCTCACTGCAGGAGACGATGCAGATCAAGAATAGTGCTCTGCAGTCATCTACGGACCCACCGCCAGTACACCGATCTTGGAAGACAATCCTACTCAGACAATGAGGGATCGCCTAAATAAGTACACTGAAGTACTGGTTATAGAATAATCTCAGTAAAAGAGAATAGGCTGGGCAGTGGGGAATAACACATCTATTATAGACATCTATATATCTACTATAGACATCTACAACATCTATTATAGAACTCCAGTATGCTGATAACAACGTCGTCTGTGCGCATTCAGAAGAAGACCTACAAGCCACTCTAAACACCTTCACAGAAGCATACGAGCAGCTCGGCCTGTCATTAAACAGCGAGAAAACCAAAGTCCTCTTCCAATCCTCACCAGCCAATCCCTCTCCAATGCCAGAAATACAGCTTAATGGTGTAACATTAGAATATATTGACTATTTCTGCTACCTTGGCAGCAACCTCTCCACCAAAGTCAACATTGACACCGAAATACAACACCGCCTGAGCTCTGCGAGTGCAGCATTTTTCCGAATGAAGCAGAGAGTGTTTGAGGATCGAGACATCCGCAGGGATACCAAGGTGCTTGTTTATAAAGCTATTGTCCTCCCAACCCTGCTATACGCCTGCGAGACATGGACTGTCTACAGACATGATATGCAACTCCTGGGACGATTCCATCAGCGTTGCCTCCGGAAAATCCTGCAAATCTCTTGGGAAGACAAGCGGACAAATGTCAGCGTCCTGGAAGAAGCAAAGACCACCAGCATTGAAGCGATGGTCCTCCGCCATCAACTCTGCTTGACCAGCCACGTTGTCCGGATGCCTGACCACCGTCTCCCAAAGCAGTTGCTCTACTCTGAACTTAAGAACAGAAAACAGAATGTTGGAGGACAGGAAAAGAGATTGAAAGATGGGCTCAAAGCCAACCTTAAAAACTCTGTTGTGAGATGTTTTGTTGCCAAATTTGGTGTGATTTCGTTCATTGGTTCTTTTGTTTTTAAGGTACTCATTATGCACAGAGCATTTATATATATATAGATTAGGTGCCTCGGCTTATATTCGGGTCGGCTTATAGAATCATAGAATCAAAGAGTTGGAAGAGACCTCCTGGGCCATCCAGTCCAACCCCATTCTGGCATAGAATCATAGAATCAAAGAGTTGGAAGAGACCTCCTGGGCCATCCAGTCCCACCCCATTCTGCCAAGAAGCAGGAATGTTGCATTCAAATCACCCCTGACAGATGGCCATCCAGCCTCTGTTTAAAAGCTTCCAAAGAAGGAGCCTCCACCACACTCCGGGGCAGAGAGTTCCACTGCTGAACGGCTCTCACAATCAGGAAGTTCTTCCTCATGTTCAGATGGAATCTCCTTTCTTGTAGTTTGAAGCCATTGTTCCATTGCGTCCTAGTCTCCAGGGAAGCAGAAAACAAGCTTGCTCCCTCCTCCCTGTGGCTTCCTCTCACATATTTATACATGGCTATCATGTCTCCTCTCAGCCTTCTCTTCTTCAGGCTAAACATGCCCAGCTCCTTAAGCCGCTCCTCATAGGGCTTGTTCTCCAGACCCTTGATCATTTTAGTCACCCTCCTCTGGACACATTCCAGCTTGTCAATATCTCTCTTGAATTGTGGTGCCCAGAATTGGACACAATTATATTTGAGTATACGGTAAATGCTTTAAAGAAAGAAAGAAAGAAAGAAAGAAAGAAAGAAAGAAAGAAAGAAAGAAAGAAAGAAAGACAGAAAGAATATGCTGGGCAGTGGGGAATAAAATGAGCTCATTGCTCTTCAAGTAAGAATTCTTCCCCACCAATTAAATTTAATTGGTTTATTTAAAAATTATTTAAAGGTTTTAACCTCTTTAAAAATATTTTTATCTAATGCTTTAAATGTTTTCAAAGGAAGTACGGATATACGTATATACATCCATCCCAGAAGTTCTTTGTTTTGGCAAATCTGCAGAATCATTTGCCTCCGGGCCATGCCCAGGGGCAAGGAGAAGTTCTCTGTTCCTTGCCAGAGAAAAGAAAGAGCTGGCACATGGCAAAGAATGAAGCGATCACCAAAGGAGTTACGAAAGAGCGTTCTGACAGCAGCAGAGAGAGCGCCTAGACAATGAGGGCAGGAAGGAAGCTGTCAACACCCTTGCTGAGATCAAGATACAACAGAAATAATCAAAAGTGGCAATGCAAAACAAGGAATGTAATCTGGAAAGGAAACCTTCGGGACTTAAGAAAGACAAAACACCCATTGTTGCATTCACTTTCACCTCAAAGGCAACCACTAGGAAAACATCAGGATGATTTATTCAAACAGAACCAAGGGCTTTCTTAAGCGAAAAATTAAATTTATGACATACTAGCTGTGTGGCCAACCTTCCCTCCCTCTTTCTCTCCTTCTTTCCCTCCTTCCCTTTTCTTCTTTCCTTCTCTACCTCTTTCCTTCCCCCCTTTTTCTTTGCCTCCCTCTTTCTCTCCTTTCTTCCTTCCCGACCCTTTCTCTCCTTTCTTTCCTTCCTTCCCTTTTTTCTTTCTTTCTCTCCTTCCTTCCTCTTCTCCCTTTGCTTCCTCCGCTCTTTTTCTATTCCTACTTCTTTCTCCCCTTCCTTCCTTTGCTCTTTGCTTCCATTCTTCCTTCTCTTTTTCCTTCTGTCTTGCCAACCCTTTCTCTTTCTTTCTTTCTTTCTTTCTTTCTTTCTTTCTTTCTTTCTTTCTTTCTTTCTTTCTTCCTTTCTCTCCTTTCTTCCTTCTCTGCCTCTTTCTTTCCCCCCTTTTTCTTTGCCTCCCTCTTTCACCCCTTTCTTCCTTCCCTCCCCTTTCTCTCCTCTTTCTTTCCTTCCCTTTTTTCTTTCTCTCCTTCCTTTCTCTTCTCTTTGCTTCCTCCCCTCTTTTTCTATTCCTACTTTTTTCTCCCCTTCCTTCCTTTGCTCTTTGCTTCCATTCTTCCTTCTCTCTTTCCTTCTGTCTTGCCATCCCTTTCTCTTTCTTTCTTTCTTCCTTTCTCTCCTTTCTTCCTTCTCTGCCTCTTTCTTTCCCCCCTTTTTCTTTGCCTCCCTCTTTCACCCCTTTCTTCCTTCCCTCCCCTTTCTCTCCTCTTTCTTTCCTTCCCTCCCCTTTCTCTCCTTTCTTTCCTTCCCTTTTTTCTTTCTCTCCTTCCTTTCTCTTCTCTTTGCTTCCTCCCCTCTTTTTCTATTCCTACTTTTTTCTCCCCTTCCTTCCTTTGCTCTTTGCTTCCATTCTTCCTTCTCTCTTTCCTTCTGTCTTGCCATCCCTTTCTCTCCTTTCTTTCTTTCCTTTCTTCCTTCTCTACCTCTTTCCTTCCCCCTTTTTCTTTTCCTCTCTTTCTATTTTCTTCCTTCTCTCTTTCTCTCCTTCCTTCTTCCCTCTTTCTTTCCTTCCTTCCCTTTTTTCTTTCTTTCTCTCCTTCCTTTCTCTTCTCTTTGCTTCCTCCTCTTTTTCTATTCCTACTTCTTTCTCCCCTTCCTTCCTTTGCTCTTTGCTTCCATTCTTCCTTCCCTCTTTCCCTCTGTCTTGCCCTCCCTCTTTCTCTCCTTTCTTCCTTCTCTACCTTCCTTTCCTTCCTTCCCCCTTTTCTTTTCCTTCGTCTTTCTCTTTCTTCCTTCTGTCCCCTTTCATTCCTACGTTCGCTCCCTCTTTCTTTCCTTCCCCTTTTCTTTCTTTCTTTCTTTCTTTCTCTCCTTCCTTCCTCTCCTATCTCTTTGCTTCCTTCTCCCTTTTTCTTTTCCTACTTTTTTCTCTCCTTCCTTCCTTCCTTTGCTCTTTGCTTCCATTCTTCCTCTCTTTCCTTCTGTCTTGCCCTCCCTCTTTCTCTCCTTCCTTCCTTCCTTCGCCACCTCTTTCCTTTTCCTCCCTCTTTCTCTCCTTTCTTCCTTCCCTCCCTTTCTCTCCTTCCTTTGCTCCCTCTTTCTTTCCTTCCTTTTTTTCTTTATCTCCTTCCTTTCTCTTCTATCTCTTTGCTTCCTTCCCCCTTTTTCTTTTCCTACTTCTCTCCTTCCTTCCTTTGCTCTTTGCTTCCATTCTTCCTTCTCTCTTTCCTTCTGTCTTGCCCTCCCTCTTTCTCACCTTTCTTCCTTCTCTACCTCTTTCTTTCCTTTCCCCTTTTTCTTTTCCTCCTTCTTTATCTCCTTTCTTCCTTCCCTCCCTTTTTCTCCTTCCTTCACTCCCTCTTTCTTTCCTTCTCTTTTTTCTTGCTTTCTCTCCTTCCTTCCTCTTCTATCTCTTTGCTTCCTTCCCCTTTTTTCTTTTCCTACTTCTTTCTCTTCTTCCTTCCTTCGCTCTTTGCTTCCATTCTTCCTTCTCTCTTTCCTTCTGTCTTGCCCTCCCTCCCTCTCTCCTTTCTTTATTTCTCTCCTTTCTTCCTTCTCTACCTCTTTCTCCTTCCTCTCTCTTCTTTCCTTCTTCCCCCCTTTTTTTTTTTTTTTTTTCTTTCTTTCTTTCTTTCTTTCTTTCTTTCTTTTTTTTTTTTTTTTTTTTTTTTTTTCTCTTCCTTTTCCTCCCTTCTTTCCTCTCTCTCTCTCTCTCCTTTTTTCTCCTTCCTTCCTCTTCCTTCCTTCCTTTCCTTCCTTCCTTCCTTTATCCTCTCCTTTCTTCCTTCCCTCCTCTTTCTCTCCTTCCTTCGCTCCCTCTTTCCCTCCTTCCCTTTATTCTTCCTTTCTCTCCTTCCTTCCTCTCCTATCTCTTTGCTACCTTCCCCCTTTTTCTTTTTTCCCTCTTTCTCTCCTTCCTTCCTTCCCCTTTCGTTCCTTCCTTCGCTCTTTCTTTCCTTCCTTTTTTCTTTCTTTCTCTTCCTTCCTCTTCTCTGCTTCCTTCCCCCCTTTTTCCTTTCCTACTTCTTTCTTTCCTTCCTTCCTTTGCTCTTTGCTTCCGTTCTTCCTTCTGTCTTGCCCTCTCTCTTTCTCTCCTTTCTTCCGTCTCTACCTCTTTCCTTCCTCCCTCCCTTTTTCTTTTCCTCCCTCTTTCTCTTTCTTCCTTCCCTCCCCTTTCGTTCCTTCCTTTGCTCCCTCTATCTTTCCTTCCTACCCTTTCTTTCTCTCTTCCTTCCTCTCCTATCTCTTTGCTTCCTTCCCCCCTTTTTCTTTTCCTACTTCTTTCTCTCCTTCCTCCCTTTGCTCTTTCCTTCCATTCTTATTTCTCTCTTTCCTTCTGTCTTGCCCTCCCTCTTTCTTTCCTTCCCCCTTTTTCTTTTCCTCCCTCTTTCTCTCCTTCCTTCCCTCCCCTTTCTCTCCATCCTTCGCTCCCTCTTTCTTTCCTTCCTTCCCTTTTTTCTTTCTTTCTCTCCTTCCTTCCTCTTCTATCTCTTTACTTCCTTCCCCCTTTTTCTTTTCCTCTGCTTCTTTCTCTCCTTCCTCCCTTTGCTCTTTGCTTCCATTCTTCCTTCTCTCTTTCCTTGTGTCTTGCCCTCCCTCTTTCTCTCCTTTCTTCCTTCTCTACCTCTTTCCTTCCTTCCCCCCTTTTTCATTTCATGGCCGCAGCATGCAAAATATGAACACGACATCAGCGGTGGCCAAGGAGACTCCTTCCCCGCAATACAGATTTGAGGGAAGCACTTACTTGTCGACAAGTGTCCGAATGACTGCCAGTGTGTCCAGTACTAATCCATCCACATTATGTTTTTTCCTCCTCGGTTCATGGGGCCCCCGTCCCCGTCGGGGAGGTCGTACCGGGTCCCTTGGATAGCTCCTTGTTTCAGGCGCAGGGGCTCTGCTGTTCTCCGCCTGGCGACTCCTGGGTTCCGCGTTGTCTTCCGCTCCGCTGTCTTCTCGACACACACAGGAGTTGCCCATGTTGTTCGCCCCCAAGCTTAGCAGCCAACGGGGAACGTGCTGCTCAAGAGTCTGCCGTAAACCTTGGAGAAGGCTTCTGGTCACATAGAACACCACAAAAGCGATGACAATCATCTAGACAGTTTTAAAAGTATTGTCTTTTGGGTGCTAAATTGCGGCCTGAGCATCTTGTGAGTTTGTAATAACTGGAACAGACAGGAAATGGTCGGCTTCCTTCCTGACGTCATCACTGGAGATAGTCATGGGTCATCCAAGAGAAGGTCTGGTAAGAAAGCGGAGAAAATGACGTTATTTAGATTACTTAAGATCATGGCAAGAATATTTCTTCACAATTGGTCAAACATAGGTCTGAGGATGCCTGCCATAGATGCAGGCGAAATGTCAGGAGAGAATGCTTCTAGAACATGGCCATACAGCCCGAAAAAACTTACAACAACCCACTGATTCAGTCCATGAAAGCCTTCGACAATACAGGCCTAGCATAACTTTATGTTCTATGGCAGGGATGGAAAAAGTGGATCCTCCTCCCCTATCCCTGCAAACTTTGCTGAACTTCAACTCCCAAAATTCTTCTGGCTGGATTAGCTAAGAGAAACCAGCACGGAATAAAAGGTAAACATTTCCCCTTGACATTAAGTCTAGTTGTGTCTGACTCTGGGGGATAATGCTCATCTCAGTTTCTATGCCGAAGAGCTGATGTTGTCCATAGATGTCTCCAAGGTCATGTGGCCAGCATGATTGCACGGAATGTTGTTACCTTCCAGCAGAAGCGGTACCTATTGATCTACTCATATTTGCATATTTTTGAACTGCTGGGTTTGCAGAAGCTGGGGCTAACAGCAGGAGCTCACCCTGCTCCCCGGATTCGAACCGCCAACCTTTTGGTCAGCAAGTTTTGCAGTTCAGCGGTTTAACCTGTTGCACCACAGGGGACTCCCAGACCAGAATATGAATTAAAATATTTTAAAATATCCCTACTCCCCGGAACCTCTCGCTCCCCACCAAATCCTTCGTGTTTGCTTTTAATCCTATTCAAAATGGTGACAAGAAGACATTTCTGGTCATTGGCTTGAAAGAGACCGAAGGGATTTATAGGTCAGCAACCTCTGGAGGGCTGTTCTTTGCTCACTCTAGTCTTGCACCAAATCCAGAATTGTTCCTATTATCAACCTGAAAACCAGCTTGGTTTTCCCCAAATCTGCTACAGTCCCATGCATTTCAATTCCTGTTGCACCTCCTTCGGATTCAGCTATTTCTAGTCAGTGATCTGCAGGTACACTTGAAATATTTTCCAACTTACTCATGCCCTTTTTAAAAAGTTCTCTAATGATACAGACACAGCCGGTGGAATGCATGACTGTGCTGTGCAAACAACTGGTGATAAACCCAATGATAAGTCTCAAAAAGGAGTGAACCATTGCAATCAATGGGACTTGTGGGCAACACATTCCATTCCTTTTAGCAATTCTGTCGCAGCTCAGGATAGATTCACCTTGCTCAAGACATCACCACACACCAAGGCTGTAGGTTTTCTAGTTTATTGAAGAAAAAGCAAAATCAAAAACATAGAAGTAAAGTTGCAAAAGTCCAATAGCCAAGAGTCTTAAATGCAAAGGCAAAGTTTCCAAGATCCAAAGGCAAATAACATGAAGTATAATCCTTTAGCATTGGTTAAACAAGAATCCATGGCAGGATGACAAAGTCCCCCAAAAACCAAGATCAAATCCAAAGTCCCAAAGAGCTAGAAGCTTTTCCCAAAAGCCGAGGTAATTTCAGAGAAGTTAACAGGGTGTAAGCAACATTGCACTGACAAAGGACAGACTTCAATCGGATTGTTAAATATGTTTACCCAACATGAAAGCATTACGTTGACCTCGAAATTCCTGTTCGTTGGCAAGGCGCACACTTCGGCGAACCCTTAATTGCAAACGGTCCTCCCTAATCAAATTTCCACCATCTTCAAGGTCGGATACCTCATTATCCTGGGACTGGTCACCCTGGGAATCGAGAGGCACTGAACTCCCAGATGGGGCCGACTCTTCCACCTGCAGATGTGAAGTTTCACTATCTTTATCTAAAACAACATTCCTTTCTCTGGGGAACAGAAATGCCATCTCTTCCTCAGAATCAACTCTGTCTGCCTCAATAACCGGAACAGGGACATGTTCAGAAATCTGTAACCCATCCTCCTCCTCGTCCTGAGGAAACTCAGGCTCAGAAAGCTCAGGCTCAAAGTGAGCCACAACAAATTCTACTCTTATCAAGATTCATATTGAATTTAGTCTTGGGCTCCCAAGCAGGACCCAGATCGCTTCCCGATCAACCAGTTGTTGAATATGGAGTATCTCAAAGTGGTCAGTGGTGAAGTGATTCCCTTTCATATGAGGGAAGCTATTGGGTGAAGGGGATAAAGAGTATCCTGTCTGAAGTTTAAAAACAAAGCTCAATTTACAAAGTGGTAAAAATTATAAAAATCCTAGGCTACCAGACAAGCTTTTCCTCATAATGCTCAGAAAACTTTTTAGTTCTAATTTATAATAACACTATACTAAAGGTAAAGGTTTCCCTTGACATTAAGTCTAGTCATAACGGACTCTGGACCAAACAATGATGGATCTGGACCAAACTTGGCACTGATACTCAACATGCCCAAATGTGAACACTGGTGGAGTTTGGGGAAAATAGACTGTGACATTTCGGAGTTGTAGTTGCTGGGATTTCTAGCTCACTACAATCAATGAGCATTCTGAACCCCACCGAAGATAGAATTGGGCCAAACTTCCCACACAGAACCCTCCATGACCAACAGAAAATACTATGTTTTCTGATGCTCTTCAGTGACCCCTCTGACACCCCTTGCGACCCCCCTCAGGGGTCCCAACCACCAGGTTGAGAAACACTGTTCTAGGACTTTAAGATCATCTGAGGAGGCTCTGCTCTCAGTCCCGCCTCCGTTTCAGATGCGTTTGGCGGGAATGAGAGACAGGGCCTTCTCAGTGGTGGCCCCTCGGCTGTGGAACACCCTTCCTAGGGGTACTAGATCAACCCCTCCTTCTTAACATTTCGCAAAAAGGTTAAAACCTGGCTTTTTGAGCAGGCATTTGCAAATTCAATATAACAGTCAATGATAGACCACGGAACGACTGACAATGCGATTGAATAATGATTTCAGTAAGGAGACATTAAGGATGTATGACTTATTATCGAAGGCTTTCATGGCCAGAATCACTGGGTTGTTGTTGGTTTTTCGAGCTATATGGCCATGTTCTGGGGGCATTCTCTCCTGACATTTCGCCTGCATCTATGGCAAGCATCCTCAGAGGTAGTGAGTATTTCTTGTTGCAGGAGAAACATCAGGAGAGATTGCCTCTAGAACATGGCCATATAGCCCAAAAAAACCTACAACAACCCAGCGATTCCGGCCATGAAAGCCTTTGACAATACAAGTACAAACTGTCGCTATGGTTCTTTTGGTCCCATCCGATATCAGACTAAGCATGATGATCACACGTGGATTTATACAAAACAGATAGGCGCCTGGTAGTAGAAATAGATGCATGTCCAATTCTGCCTTCCCTTTCCCAGCCTTCTTTTGCCAAAGGAGCTTTGTCCATCAATCATTTCCATCAAGTAGGGAAAAGCAGGAAAGACTAACATGACTCAGACAGTGAGGAATTTCTCATAGGCTGGTCAAACATGCGAACTGCGTTAGGCAAAACTCTCTCCGATTTGCTCATCTTACTCCGACCACAGGTCCTGTTGCCAGACTTGGCGAAAAACACTTCCTTCAATTGTCACTAGTTATCACAAGGACACACACATTTGGAAGTGCTAATGGCTGCAAAACCAACCTTGCCTTTGTTAAACCCTGCCACTCAAGGAACGATGAGGACTTCCAATAACAAACTGCTCTCAGCTGTTCTCTCTAGACTGCCGCATGTATTTTTAGCAGCACATTTGCCAACTGATTGCATCAGACACACATTTCTTGGAGAAAGAGCTCTATTTTTGTGGGCTCCAGGCACAACACTATGGATACGTTTCAGGATTTTCTGACACCCATCTCTCCCCTTTTTTTTTCAGCATGAAAGTACATACAGTACCCACTACAACTCTAAAGACTTAGGAAAATACTGCATTTTCCCACCAGAGGATCCAATTGCTGTCCTTTGAGTGAAGGCTCCACTGAACTACCAGACAAGAAAAAATTACTGTTGTTCCCTGGGAACTTTGCTATTTTAGATGCATAGAAGGGGAAAATTGGTAAAATAAACACAGCCAGAAGTGTGATTGGCGACTCCTAGGCAAGCTGTTTATTTCAGATCTGTGAAAGGATTAATTGGAGCCATCTAAAAGGCTGTAGGAAATACAGCTACTATAGTGGATATATTCAGAATAATGTCCATCGACACCAAAATACAACACCGCCTGAGCTCTGCGAGTGCAGCATTTTCCTGAATGAAGCAGAGAGTGTTTGAGGACCGGGGCATCCGTAGGGATACCAAGGTGCTTGTCTATAAAGCTATTCTCCTCCCAACGCTGCTCTATGCCTGCAAAACGTGGACTGTCTACAGACGTCACATGCAACTCCTAGAACGTTTCCATCAGTGCTGCCTCCGGAAAATCCTGCAAATCTCTTGGGAAGACAAGCGGACAAATGTCAGCGTGCTGGAAGAAGCAAAGACCACCAGCATTGAAGTGATGGTCCTCTGCCATCAACTCCGCTGGGACGGCCACGTTATCCGGATGCCTGACCACCGTCTCCCAAAGCAGTTGCTCTACTCTGAACTTAAGAATGGAAAACGGAGTGTTGGTGGACAGGAAAAGAGATTTAAAGATGGCCTCAAAGCCAACCTTAAAATCTCTGGCATAGACATTGAGAACTGGGAAGCCCTGGTCCTTGAGCGCTCCAGCTGGAGGTCAGCTGTGACCAGCAGTGCTGCAGAATTCGAGGAGGCACGAGTGGAGGGTGAAAGAGAGAAACGTGCCTGGAGGAAGGCGTGTCAAGCCAACCCTGACCGGGACCGCCTTCCACCTGGAAACCAATGCCCACACTGCAGAAGAAGATGCAGAGCAAGAATAGGGCTCCACAGCCACATGCGGACCCACAAGGAAACCCATAATGGAAGACCATCTTACTCGTCCAACGAAGGATCGCCTAAGTAAGTAATGTCTGTTCTAGATCTGAAGAATACAGGATGATATCCAATGGCATCAAATATATTCTTTTTCTTTATTAAAGACTGCTCTCAATCAGTTGTC